GGCATTTCTTCACAGAAAACCTAAAATAAAGCTGTGGAAAATATCTTAAATGCTTGTAGCAGCCCAAAGGATTCTGCCCTGCCTACAGTGAGCAAGTGAAATCGCCTGTGTGGTGGATATATAACAGCAGATGTAAGATACAGCCCTAAGCTGGCAGGGAAACAAGAATCCCATACTGGTTTGGGTTGGAAAGGATCTTAAAGCTCATCCAGTTCCAACTTCTGCCATGGGCAGGGACACCTCACACCAGACCAGGTTGCTCCAAGCCCCATCCAACCTGACCTTGAACACTGCCAGGGATGGGACAACCACAGCTTCTCTGGGCACCCTGTGCCAGTGCCTCAGCACCCTCACAGGGAAGAGCTGCAAGGGACTGGCAAGTACTGCACAACAGAAGGTTTTGAAGCCCTGATCCCACAAACACAGACTCATTTTAATATTAATTAACACAGAGTTCCATGAACACTGAAATAATCTTTACTGAAAGGCATGGATGCTCCATGTCTCCATAAAATCAGGACCTCACAGAGCTGAGAAATACAAGCCAACTGCTCTGGAGCACCTCAAAGGCTGGGGTTCTTCCTGGGAAATTATGCTGTTGTAGTAAGTCCAGACTGTTAAACCTCAAGTAAATCGCCACTGCAGAGGTGGCACAGGTAGGTACCATCTGCTTACTTTCAATTCAAATACATGAGAGTGTTGTGCTGACCTTTAATTTATAACCTGCTTCTTGATTCCTGAGCGTGCCATACTCAGATGGGATTGCACTGTGCATATCCCCAAAGGAAATCATTCACCCTTAGGAACACCAAGCATGGTTTTTATTCTAGGGCACTGAGACAAATTGCAGCATCAGTGAATGAACCGAGAGCTTCAAAACGATCAGGACTAAATGAAACGCACAGCTCAGGTGGAGCAACACAATTCTGCAACGCTATTAAAAGACATAAAGCAGCATTAGGGAAAAAGCACATTGAGAAACCATTATCCTTGGAAATAAAGGAGGAGAGTCAAAAATAAGTTGCTGCTGTTTCCCTCTGAAAGAGGATTTTAGCCCCCTCATTCAGACTAACTACAGAGGCCTATGCAAAAGACACTTTGTTCCATTCATGGCAGGTAACTGTTGGGAGATTATGACCACTGAATCAACATCCTCAGGGGACACAAACCTCTGGCAGAGAAATAAGACTTGTCATAAAACTATGAGAAGGTATTAATTATGCTTATCATCACTGAGCCAGTTGCCATTTAAAAGCCACACTTTTAAAGCTGTGACCATAACTGTACACCCCCTTTCTTACACATACACTACCTGCTACAGGAGTATTACAGGGGTGAGGAGAAGGAGGAAGCTTCCAGAACACTTGCTCTGACTCATCTCATTTATTGCCCATTGCAACAAACATCCCTTCACGTGCACTTACTCAACATTCTTTTATTGTCAGTGCATGACTCCAGCCATTGCTTGCAGATCAGGGCTTAAAACCGAACCTGTTCTCATCATGAATCTATGGCTTGCTCTGTTAATGCTGTGTACTCACCATTATCAATAAGCATGGAATTCATTCCCACTCCTTCTCCCTAGAAGATGGGGTAGCAGGTCTGCTAGTCCGGTAAGCACATGCAACAGACAAACTCGGTGTGCACTTTAGGATGCCAGGTAATTCGTGCCACATCACATTAACACCCATGGGTGTATAACACCCATGAAAATCCAGACCCTTGGAGGCAACGGTATAATGTCATATCTTACGTGCTCAGAACACACCCGCATGGAAAGAAACTACAGGATTTGTTCTTTCTTAAATCAAACAAGAACTTACTTGTGCAACCTTAATATTCTTTGAACATTTTAGGATGGGCATGTCCCTCACCATAGGGAAAAAATTAATAGCTTCAGCATGCAAAACTATTTAACTCCAAATTTACAAAACAGGGTTTTTTGCCTTACTTGGAAAGCAAACAACAGTGGATACAAATCTTCAATGAGTCCTTCCACCCAGGAGTACATCTAGAATCTCTTATGGAGACCATTCAACCATACAACACCCCTTACTTTATCCTAAAGCTCAAGTATCAAAATTGATAAACACAAACCACTTATTTTCATCTGCTCCTTCCCCAAAAGTCCTCTCATCATCTTTTCTCTGCCCTTGCAGCGTTCCATTTCTCTACATCACATCCTCATCTCTTCAAACTGCACTTCTTCCCCCTAGGAGAGGCATCAGGCAATTTTAAGTGGCCTTACCTTTCCCACTTCCCACCACGCCTCACAGGGCTGGTGCAAGACTCCCCCAAACTACTCACATCTATCATCAGTACCGTTCTGTTGGCAAACAGAACTAGTGTGTTAGAACGATTCACCATGAACTGCTACAGTAAATACTGGTACAAAAGAAAAGGTCCTCAGAGGCATCTTTCTTAATAAGCAAATAAAGTTTTATTAAATCCCAACATTTAAAGCATTTGTTATACCACAATTTACATATTTTCAAATCCACTCTATACTGATTATTTAATGTAATAAATATAACTTCCACAGAGTGATGATACTGTTCTATTCTGGTATTATTCTTACAGTGATTAACTTCCTCCCAACCCTTCAACTGGCCTTTTCAGGAAGAAATATATATTCATTTAAGTTCTCCAAATCAAATATATTCCACACACACCAACAAAAACATCATTACAAACAAAAAAAACAGCACAGCAATTTTCTTCCCATCTGGAATACTGAACATAGGTCTGCACGGTGAAAAGTCAAATGGGGAAAAGTATGGAGAAAGCCTTGAAGGATAATTAGGGATTGCTGTCAGATTTCACAAGAGGTTAATTCCTCTTGCTATCAAAACCAAAGTTGATCTAGAATCCTTTCCACCCATGCTTAAAAAAGAAAAAGGCATATCAGGAAAAGGCTTTGAAGTGTTTTGGCACAGAAAGAAACCATTGGAAGTGATAACCATCAAGGCTTCAGAGGGAGAGACTTAAAAATAACATAGAACTACTAAATTCCACTGGGAGTACTCAATAGATTCGTGAAATGATAATGTGACCACTCCTAAAAGGATGTGCATTGGTCCTGAAAGGATACATGGAGATCTTCTAAGAGAGGCATGGACAAAGTAACAAAGAAGCCACCTATGCACCCCTGTGATGGAAGGCCCACTTCAGCTAGGTTTTTGCACACAGTGGGACAGAGTGAAGAGAGAAGTAACAAGGATAGGGAGGAAAAAGAGAAAAACAATACTAGCAACTCACTGGGAAACTAATACTACCTAAAACCAGTCCCACAAAAGCATCCTGATGAGAAAACTTGCTTAAAAATGTATTCCATCTAATAAATATGGAATTAGTTAAGCTTAACCCTCAGCCTAACAAGTGAAAACCTATCCTCCTGGACCACTGGCCTAGAGTGAATCCTCTGCACTACTAAGCCCAGAATACTGCTTTTAACTGAAGGCATGGTGATAAGAGAGGATTACAGGCTATCAAGATTCTCTCTACATAAAGACTGTTTGACATTACACTACTGATGGGAAAGAACCTCAGCTGGATCCCACATGGGTAGTATTAAATACATGTGGAAACTTCAGGATAATTAAGCAGATACTATTGCACAAGCATAAAGAAGTTCATAAAGTTTTAAGTGCTGGGGAGCAATAATTATCTAGTCCAGAAAGCAGGGAGCCTGGCTGATAACGTGCTCAGTTTTCCATGACTCCTCCAAGTCTTCTACCAACCTTCCAGCACATGACACATTTGCCCTATTTCTCAACATTCCTGTAGTAAAAATGAAAGCTTTTGAAGAGAGGCAGAGGATACAAAACCAGCTTAGCAGCTAGAAACTCTGCTAGGGCAGGGGTGTCTGAAGGCAGTGGACGAAGTGAAACTGAAATGTCGCAGACAGAAAAGCTCAACTTCACTGTGGCACTGCTCAAATACACCCACATTCCTCCTGCAAAAGGACAACAGGAGCAGAAGAACAAACCAGCAGTGTGTCTGGTTCAGGATCACAAGGAAAGCAGGAAAAGATTGAACACCACCTGGTCATGCCATCCTCAGTCTCCTGTGTAAGAACCGATCTCTTTCGCCACATGCTGCATGGGTCTTCCTGAGAGGAACCCAGGTACTGCTGGGCAGAAGGGCAAAGCAAGGGACATCCTGCAGCTACAGACTTCAGAGGCAGGATTCCCAGACTTGCACTGTTCATGGTTTTCATACAGCAACACCAGGGTTGAAGGGCAGAAGAGAGGAAGATGTGCAGAAGTCAACTGCTTCATCATCCTGGATGACACACACACATGAATTTACATCCTGGCTTTCTTATATGAAAAGAGAGATAAAAAAGCAAGAATTGCATGGAATTATATGCCCAGAATTATATGGATTTGTGTTAAGCCCTTCTAGGAAACACAGACAGAAAATCTCCATCCCTCATTTTTCTGTAGCAGTTGTTCTGCTATGTGCCTATCAGACAACCAGGACATTGACAGATAAACACTGCTAAGGAGAAGTCAACTGCTGCAGAGTTCAGTATTCTCAAATAGGGCACCATTTACTTGAAATATTAAAACCTCGAGCAAAATTCAAGCATTAACCCGTTTGCATTGTTTTCAAATAGCATCTTCTTACTCTTGTTAAGAGAAAAATCACAGAAGATCAATTGAGCATCAACAAAAAACGTGCAGAATGAAAAGAGACTATTTCAGCTTTGGATTTCTGCTTTACATAGGAGGTCCTGTATGCACAGACAGCAAGAGAAGTTTGGTGATTCCAAGTTTTCTCTCTTATTTGCTTTTATGAGAGCTATTTTCAGCAAGTAATGATCCGATGCCCAGTTATTCTGGGGGAAATGCCTGCAGAAACACAGCTGCTTCACCCTTTGGTATCAGTCTCCCCAAAAATTGGATTTCAAGGACTGATGCATGGCAACTTACAGTACTGATAACACAGACTGGAAGCCCTAGTGCGTGCTGCAGACAGCTAAGAAAATACCCTAGCAAAAGGCTTCTTGAGTTTACAGACTTTGTGGATACTCTTCAATTCCTTCTGCAAAACATGCACAAATGATTTCGCTGCAAGAGATGAGGACTTCACCTGCCTCAGGCTGGAGAAGGCAGCTCCTGATGGATAACCAACAGTGGAACACGAAGCAGCTGCACGACACAGATATTGCTGAACATGCACAGGACACATTGTCTCTGTCACATCAGTGCTATCTTTAAATGCAGAACCTCAATAGTAATAATAAACACAAAGAATTAATTTCCTCAGCATTTTAAAATGCCCCCATTTGTTTTGTAGGCCCAAGATACATTTGGTGTTTTCTGCTCACACTGAACAGAACCTGCTGAAGTCCACCCCAACGTATCTTCTGCAGCTTCCCTGAAACAGGGTGGGCTTCCAGAGTGAAAGAGCCAAGATACTGACCAAAAAGCATGGTCCAAGTCTGTCAAATGGAAAACTCCTCAAGGAGAACGGAGAATTATCTCTGTTATTTCAGCTCTGCTGCCCAGCCTCATGGGTATTCCAAAGTACATCGTCCCCGGGCTGACATACACAAAGGTGTTCTGCCCAACTTTATACAAGCCAACAAAGAACGGATTCAGCAAATAAGCTCCAGCATTTAGTGGGAAAATTTGCCCTCCATGAGTATGGCCAGAGAGAATTAAGTTGATGTCTGGTCTCTCCCGAAGGGCCCACTTGGCAGCAACAGGCTGATGAGCTAACAGCACTATCGCATGCTCACTGCTACAGCCTTCCAGGGCTTGCTTTAAATCCATGCCATGTCCCGAGTAGTGCAAGGCATCTGCTTCAATATCATCAACACCAGCCAGACAGAACCAGTCCTCGGTGCTCTGTGGGGAAACAATCTTCACATTCTCATTATGCAGCGGCCGAATGTTGAATGATTTTAACAGCTCAAACCAGTTGCTAACATCTGAGGTGTAGTACTCATGGTTTCCTGTGACAAAGTAAGTCCCCAGAGGGGAGGCAAGTTCTCCAAGAGGTTCAACAGCAGGTCGGAGGATCTCTGCCTCAGAGTCAGTCAGGTCCCCAACAATCACAGTGATATCTGGTTTTAAAGCCTTAACCATCCTCACAATCATAGCAAGCTTGGTCTTCCCAACTGTAGGCCCCAGATGGATATCTGAAAGCAACACCACTTTCAGGTTATTCATGGCTGAGGACAGCTTGTGAACTGGAACTTCCACCGAATTCACAGCAGGAGGCTGGGAGGCATTTAAAAGCCCCACAACAGTCAGCACAACAGTCAGCAGCACTGCCAAGACTGGTTTCATCGCTGGTCTGTTCTTGTGGCCAGTGCCTGCCTTAGCCCCTTTCCCAGCCAACAGCTTGTAAGCCTGCTCTACAGAGCCTAGAGTGAAAAGGAAGAACATCAGAATGATATAGGCCCCCAGGCAAGTGTAGGCAGCTAAAGAAAAGAAATAGGGCTCTTCTGCAACAAGAAACAGCATCGTGAAGAAGCTTGAGTGTGCCAGAGCCAGAAACATGAACACAGCTATTTTCCAGGGCATGAAACAGAACGAGCTGGCAAACGAAGCCCTGGAGAACGTGGTAACTACACTTCTCCACACGTGAAGAGATCCTATCAACATAAGTGCATTAGCAAACAGTGCCATCTGCAGCCTCAGGAGCCAGCGCCGCATCCTGAGGTCGAGCTTTTCTGACAGGTAACTCCGCGACAGCATCATGGAGAGGAAAACCACTCCTGCAGCCACTGCAGCCTTTGCTTCAAGGGATGCTTGCTTGAAGGACATCATCTTGGCTTCCCAACCGGTCCCTTTTGTTCTGCAGGAGTCTCCAGTAGGCAATAATGTGGTTATGAAGGGATGCCTTGGGTCAACGAAGCCTGCAACCAGGAACCAGCATCAGCCCATTTAAAACAGCACAGACATTCCCTTTTCCCAGCCTGCAATGAAGGACTGTTACTCTGTACATGCTACAAGAGACTGGGTCATGCAGAATCACTATCATAGAGACAGAGAGGAGACTTCCTGGTGTGGAATAAATCAGGCAACTGAAAACACTGGATTCTGGCAGTCCCCTTTCAAGCTCTCTGCTTGCCTCCCTCAATTACTCCTTCCACCCCCCTTTTACTTTTTAATACACTCTTTCCTCATTAAGACTTCCTTATAGTAGATGGCAGCAGATCACAACAGTGATGCAACAAGTCTGGGAACAATCATGACACTGTTTGTAAGCCTCACACATGTTCTGGGACTAAGATGCTCTGCTGTTAACTTCACACACACAATTTTCTGCTTTGCCCAAGCAGCCAGCTCCATCTCAAAAGCAGGTCTCACCCCACATCATCCTCACTGAATGCAAGGCATTCTACTAACACCTGCTGCAGCAGCAGTGAAATCCCCACTGGAACAGCATCAGATGCAATTGTGGGACCAGAAAATCTAGGAGATGCATCATCCACAGGTATCTTTGCCTCCAGCTGTAAATAACACCTCCCCAAAGCCCTCAGAATCAGTAGGGCCAGCGAAACCACACTGCGCTTGGCTACTCACCTCCTGCTCACTTCCACTACATGTACAACTCCTAAGGCTCAACAGCTACTCACACATATCCTGGTCTAACAGATGCAACTATGATGAAAAGGGACTAAAACATCACACACTGCTCCTGCAGAAGTAAAGGGAGCACTAAGTGTAACACATCACTGATTCAGACTGAAAGTAAGCAAGCAAGCACCAGTTAGGTTTGAATCCCACCGTAATTCCCTGTTTGCCCTGTATTTTGCACAGAGTTCATAGGGCTTCTGCTAAAGTTTGCACATTTCTGGTTAAAATAAACCTACTGGTCTTTCATAATACACAGTAGAGAGAAGGCTGAGATGACAAAGTGCCTTATTTAAAGCCATGCAGCAGCATACACACACTTTCAAAACCCTTCCTCTCTCTCAGCCCACACTTGACTAGAGAAAGAGAAAGCAATCTTAACAGCCAGAAATACCTCAGAACTAGGGCACAAAAGCAGCCTTGTGGTGCCCTGCAGCAAGCTTGAGCCCCTTAGTCTACAAATCCAGTTTGCCTGGTTGCTTACCTGCAGCACATACTTCCCCACGCTCATTTCAAAGCGCATCAGCACCTCTGTGATGACAGGACCCTGCTGTATTTTGAGAACTAGACCAAGTTTTAACGAGCACCCTTCCCTCAGTGCTTGCTCAGGGAGCCGTGGGTCGATAGTGAACCATCAGCCCTCGCAGCTGGTACAAAACTACTCTATTTTACACACATGCCTCTGCAGCAAATGAGCGGAGCCAGGAAGATCAGAGCATAAGAAATGCCTTACTGGTTTGAGCCCACAGCTCCTCGACACACCAGGCCACATTCTGTCTGGACAACAGCAATAAGAAATGCTGTTTAAGGGAACAGCCTGACCCCGGCCACTGTCTGTGGCTGCTCTCCTCACGCTCCAGCTGACAAGAGCTCCTGCATCAGGGATGTTGGAAGGCAAATCCTTGCCTGGGCCTTTTTGGATTGTTTTGTTGATTAACCCAATGTATTTTAATTTGGCTAATCCTCATTTGGGACCTGTTAAACCCTGCCTGCTTCTACAACCTCCCACTGCAGCAAATCCTTGGAACGGTTTGGCTTGGAAGGGACCTTCAAAGCTCATCCAGTCCAAACCCCTGCAATGAGCAGGGACATCTTCAACCAGATCAGGGTGCCCAGAACCACATCCAGCCTGGCCCGGGATGTCCCCAGGGATGGGGCATCCACCGCCTCTCTGGGCAACCCGTGCCTTACCCAGCTGCAGCGCCTGCTACGGGAACATCAACGCCGGGCTTCAAGCTCCAGCCACAAGGCTCCCATAGCCGATACAGCGACACAGGACGTGCCCGGGCACCTACTGCACACACCGCAGCAGCAGAGCGGCTGCGGACCCTGGGCAGCTCCGGCCAGGCTCCTCTCCCTGCACACACCACACCAGAGCAAGCTTCCCCTGCGATGCGCTCCCCAACTCCGGTATCCCCCCCCCGCCCGCCCGCCGCGGTGCAAAGGCCGCACCGCCCGCCCCTCCTCAGCGCCGGCAGCGAGGTCCCGGCGCGGCCCAGGCCTCACGGGACAAGGCCCGGGTTATCACCACCCGCAACCACCGGAGCTGGTTAACGCGAAACGGACCGAATTCATCACTCCCACCCGCGGGCAGACATGCCCGCCCCGCAACCCCCGCGGAGCCCAGGGCCGCCCCGAACCCCCGGAGGAAGCGGCAAGGGACTCACCGCGGCGCGGAGGATGGCCGCCAGCCCGGCCAAGGGGAGCAGCAGCCGCAGCATGGCGGCCGGCGGTGGGCAGACTGGAACCGGCCGCTCCTCAGCCAAGCGCCCCGGGACGAGGCGGTGTCGGCGGAGGGGAACGACTGCTCCGCCAGGCCCCGCTCCGCTCCGCCCCGACGAGGCCCGCTCCGCCCCGCTCCGCTCCCAGATGGCCCTGCCCCGGTTGTCAGCCATGGAGCAAAGCCCAGATCCAGGAGCTTTCAAGGCTGAAATTGTGTGATTTATAGCTCTGTAGGACCACGCTTTTGATTTGCAAAGCGTTTGCAGGTGTCTCGGGTGGGAATGATGTTCTGCAGGGGCATCTTGGCCCTGCTTGAAGGTGAGAGGGAGCAGTTCCTGCTTGTCAGGAGTAACCCAGGTGCTTTGCTTTTACCTCGCCTTGGGGAAACGAGGAGCAGCTGAGCGGACCTGCCATGGGCAGGCTCGTCTCGAGTTCTGAGCTATAGAAAGTTCCCAGATAATGGGATTTGCTTGTGTGTGAGAGGCACCGACCTCACCGAGCACAAACATGCTCCTCGTAGAGGTACATGGAGTCTTAGGTGATGTGGGTTTAGTGCGAGGTGTCCCTGCCCGTGGCAGGGGGTTGGAACTGGGTGATCTTGAGGTCCTTTCCAACCCAAACCAGTCTGGGATCCTATGGCATTGGATCACAGCCACACACATTGCAGCTGAGGGGCTGCTGAGCCTGTTTGGACAGAGAAGGGTGAATGTCCTCCGTTTACCCTGGTAGAGGAAAACAAGTATGTTAAGAGATAGATCTACTGCAATCACAGAGGAGTTTTCACTGTGAGGAAAGGAAACCTCTTGGTCAGCCTCAGCAGAGGGTGTAACCCCCAGTTCTGTTCCATTTCTGCAGAATCTGATGGTTTTTAAGCTCAGCACATGGAGCTGCGTATGCCCCTGCCATTAGCACACACACTGAATGAGGAGCTTAAAAGTCAACCCCAAATTGGGCTCAAAAGTGAGTATGTGGAAGGTAAATGAAGACACAGAAGAGATGCTGGTAGTTGTCATTTTCCCACTTAAAGCAAACCAAAAAGAAGTGTTACACTTGCAAGTTCTCTTGGTGAGCAAAGAGAGATGCTTAGTTTTGTAATGACATGAGCTGGAGGGAAGTGACAGCTTGTTTCACGATCCAGGCTGGTATTGCAAGAACTGAGCCCATTGTCTCTGCTTTGGTTTGAAATGAATTACCTGGGGACAGCCCTGAGCAAGGATGCAAATAGGGAACCAATTTGGCAAGAGGATTTGTAAGGTTCACCCTGTTCTCCTCCTTTTGTTCCCACCAATGGGGTAAAAATGATGGTGGCATCAACTGCGGTCACTGAATAAGTGGGACGTGGCAGAAAAAGCACAAACAGGATGAGCAGCTGCCCATGTTCTGCTCTGGAGACTCTTAAGACAGTGGAAGTGTCTGTGTGCCGTGGGTAGCTTAAGTTACATTTATTACTTTGCTTCTAGGGATAATTAAGCTAAGCCTAATTAAAGTCACTGAAATACAGAATGTGAAGGCTCAGATTCATGAAGGAGAGGCCAAAAGACATGAAGATCCTTTGCACAAGAGGCTTTACCCATGGGCATGCCTTTACCATACTGCAGTTAATGCAGCTTTCCCAACGAGGAATGACTGCATTACACTGAGGGCCAAACTAGCTGGAATTAGGGGTATTTCCATGGATCCACTGGCAGGCAGCCATGTGCCATGCACTGTACAGAGGTACTGGCACATACAAGCCTACACCCGCTGCAGGAGGAGTTTCAGCATGACAACTGGTTATTGAGGGTACAGAGACACCTTAGCGGCGATTTTGCAGTTTAGCACCAGAGCTTCTTCCCCTTGGAAGGGGATGCCATGCTGCTGATGCTGGAGCGTGGTGCCCAGTCACAGCTGAGCTCATCCAAAACCAAGCCCACATCATTGTTTTCTCCATAACTGGAACGGAGCCTGAACTGTGATTTGGAAACTTTCTTGGAGTGTGAGTGGTATGATCATAGAATCCCAGGCTGGTCTCGGTTGGAAAGGATCTTAAAGCTCATCCAGTTCCACCCCCCTGCCACGGGCAGGGACACCTCACACCAGACCAGGCTGCTCCAAGCTCCGTCCAACCTGGCCTTGAACACTGCCAGGGATGGGGCAGCCACAGCTTCTCTGGGCACCCTGTGCCAGCGCCTCAGCACCTTCACAGCGAAGAACTTCTGCTTTAGATCTAACCTGAACTTCCCCTGTTTTAGTTTGAATCCATCATCCCTTATCCTATCGCTACAGTCCCTGATGAAGAGTCCCTCTCCAGCATCCTTGTAGCCCCCTTCAGACACTGGAAGCTGCTCTGAGGTCTCCACGCAGCTTCTCCAGGCTGAACAGCCCTGATGTTCTCTGCCTGTCTCCACACAGGAGGTGCTCCAGCCCCTGAGCATCCTCGTGGCCTCCTCTGGACTTGCTCCAACAGCTCCATGTCCTTCTTATGTTGGGGACACCAGAGCTGCACACAGTGCTGCAAGTGGGGTCTCAGGAGAGCAGAGCAGAGGGGCAGGATCACCTCCCTTGACCTGCTGTGCACACTGAAGCTGCTCATGTTCAGTTTCTCATCAACCAACACCCCCAAGTCTTTGTCCTCAGGCTGCTCTGAATCTCTTCTCTGCCCAATCTGTAGCTGTGCCTGAAAAATGAGCAGAAAAATGATGGTTGTGAGAGGTCTTCCCTTTGCTATTGAAAAGAGAACATTGTGTTTGAGCCACCTAAACCATGCAGAGAAAACAGCCTGTAACAGGTCTTATTGGGCTGGGGTCCGGGGAGGGAGCACACACCCACCTCAGCCCACATAAACCTCAAAGTGATGTGACTGCTGGCTGTGATGATGAAAACAGCTAAATAATTAGAACCCAGCCGTCAGTTTCTGTGGCGTTGGTTTGTCTCCCAGCCAGAAGCATTTCAAAAGGTTGAGGTTTTACATTAAAAGAAGACAGCACAAAGTCACAGCTGTACTTCAGAGCTGTTTCAGATCAGTTGTTTTCCCTGCGTCTTTCCTCTCCAGGTCACGGAGCCTCCTTCAAGACTGAGTGAAGCTCTGGGTGAAGATGGCTGCTGCAAGTGTAGTGAGTATACAGCTACAATGCTGTGTTATCTCCTTTTTACTTTCCCCTCTCTTTGCCCCCATCAGTTTTCTGCCTCTCTTGAGCCACTGATGGTGTCCCACAAAAAGCCTCTTACCTCTTTCAAAGGGGGGGATTTTGCCTTTTGTTCTGTATTTGAAGCTGCTGAGCCAACAGTGATTTGAATAGTCTGACAGAGATCTCCCCACCTGCCATTTTAATAGCTGAAGTGGGCAGGAGGTGGTGAACTGCTCCTTCATAAAGACTTTGTTACTCAACGGGTCATTTTTATACATCTCTGCCATGCCACACACTTCAAGCAGTCTGAAACGTGCTGTGTTTCACCGGCAGCCTTTGCTCTTTCCCATCTGAAATGGAACATATTGGGGATCTTCAACTGCACTTGGTGGAGAGAGGCAAATTTGTGCTTTACTGAGATACCTCTCAATACAAATTTGCCTCATGTCTCACTGCAGGTCACCCACCCTGGCAAGACCAACCTGGAATACTATAGGAACGACAGCACAGAGCTGTCCCTGTATGGAATCCCAGTGAACAACAGGGACTTTATGTGTGACATGAGGCAGGTCAGGCAGTTTGCTCGAGCCTTCCTGCCTGTGTTCTTCTGGCTCATCTTCTCTGTGGGCACTGTGGGAAATGCCTTGGTCCTGCTCGTGTATTGCAAACACTGCTTCAGGAGGAGCTTGATGGATCAGTACCTGCTTCACTTGGCCAGTGCAGACCTCCTCCTCCTCTTCACCCTCCCCTTCTGGGCCAAGGCTGCCTCCGATGGCTGGATCTTCAAGAACCTCATGTGCAAAGTTGTCAACAGTATGTATAAGATCAACTTCTGCAGCTGCAGCTTATTTCTAACCTGCATCAGCTTGGGCAGGTACATCACTATTGTCCAGGTGACGAAAGCTAACGCCTCTAAGCGAAGGCAGCTCCTGCGCAGCAAAGTGATGCGCTGGGCTGTCTGGCTGACATCCGTGAGCCTGTGCATCCCAGAAATCATGTACAGCCAAAGCATGCAGGTGGGTGACACAACAGTTTGCAAAATCACATATCCACCAACCATCAGCATGAATTTCAGAGTTACTGTCCTAGCCTTGAAAGTCACATTTGGATTCTTCCTCCCGCTCCTTGTCATGATTATTTGTTACACCCTTATCATCAACACCCTCCTGCAAGCCAAAAGATCCCACAAGCAGAAGTCACTGAAGATCATCACCATGATCATCACCGCTTTCCTCCTCTCCCAGTTCCCGTACAACATTGTTTTGCTGGTCAAAGCCATCAGCACCTGTGCCAGGGCGACAGAGAGCTGTGATGCTGCCGGGCGGCTGGACATCACGCTGCAGGTCACCCAGAGCATCGCCTTCCTCCACAGCTGCCTCAACCCCTTTCTCTACACCTTTGCTGGTGAGCGGTTCAGGACAGCCCTGGGCAGGGCAATGCTGAGTGGTGGCTTCTGCTGGGGCAGGGGCCAAGACCAGTGCTCCTCTGCCTGCAACAGCCATGAGCACAGCTCACACTGGTCCTTTGCCGTGCTGGGGAAGCGGCGGGTGAGGAGCTCCTTCACTCTCAAGCGCACGCTTAATCATAGAGTCATAGAATCAGCCAGGCTGGAAAACACCTTTAAGATCATCAAGTCCAACCACTGACCTCCTCCATTATGGCCCCTCCGTGCCAAGTCTTCTTGTAAGTTAGTGTTTGTCTCTGCCCTGCTCCAGAGGAGCACCAGACTCCTTGGAAACTCTATATCCCAAAGACTCTCCTAGAGGAGTGGGGAGGGCTGGGAGCTGCTTGCATGCCCCATCCTTGCTGCATGGGATCCAGCTGGGGCTCGCTGGCTTGAAAGGAAGGGAAACCTTCAGCACAGGGCAGCTAAATGGAGCCATAGTCGTAAGCAGAACTGATAGAGAACAAAAGCTGTCTCTGAGGCAGTTGTCCCATCTGCAGCTCAGACCACAGCCTGACAGAACAAGCCTTGCAGGGAGGTGGTAAACCAGCTACAGCAGCAACGGAGGCAGAGGAAGCAGCAGGAGGGGGAATCAGCCTTCATTTGCTGTCTACCCAGTTTCCTATGGGGAGCCTGCCTGCTCCTACACCAGCTCCTCTCCCCTCTAATGGAGGGCAGCCTTTAGCTCCTCGGTTTACTGCACTAGAAAGTGCTGCTCTCTGTGGCTGTGCCTGTGCAGGTGATTCTTCTTGCAAAGAAAGGGCAATAGTTTGTGTTTATCAAGTGGCTGATGCAGAAGTAGTTCTATACTTTAGCTGTGTGATGTCAGGTGAAATTGGGTACAATTTATTTGCTACAGTTCCTTATTTTGATACTGGAAACAAATCACACCTCACAATAAAAATTCAAGATCATCAGGGACACTAAGTTATATTTGCCATGTGGGGGATAGCCATAGTAAACCAGAAAGCAAACCCAAGCCTGTGGGTCAACAAAGTGCAGGCTATTCACTAGTATCTTTGCTAATGGTGAGAAAAACACATTTAGCCTGGGGCCAGTAAGACAGAGATTAAGTATTAATGAAATCTAGATTGAAACTCCAGGTTGGTGAAGGCAGGGGCTCCCCAAAGCAGTGTGCTCTAATGCACCCCACAACTTCTATGGGGCTTTTGGTGTGCCAGGGTCGGTGCCCATGGCCATCCCCTACCTGTCCTGCATCTCCCAGTCTTCAACTGCAAGTTACAGTGCCCAGAGGCTTTGTTTTAAGCAGCCACATTGAAATTGTTTTGCTTCCTGGTCATTGTTTCTTGCATTATTGGTCACTATTTCTTGGTCATTATTATTTCTTGCAGGTAGAAGGTGTTTTCATTGTGCATTGATCACTAAAGCAGGTTGATGAACACAAGTTTCTGCACCGTTTGGTGCTGCTTTTCCAGCTGACAGATGGGGTTCTAGTTTCGTATGTGTTAAGATTTTGTGAGCTTTTGTACCTTTTCCTTAGGGAAAAAGCAATGGTGAAGATGGATGTGAGTTTTTACTACATCTGTAAGAAGGATGTGGGGGGGAGGAGGAGGTTGCAATTTGCATTAAGCTCAAATGCAAACGGAAGCTGAAATTCTGTCAAATAAAGGCACTGCCAGGTATGCTGAGAGGATGAACTGGTTGTTGCTTCCCCCATGCCCTTCCCAGGCTGGAATCCTGTTTCCAGTGACAGGACTTGCCCTTCCCAGACCAGGCAAAAGGAAACCTTTGCTAACAGGGTTTACTTCACCCTTGGGATGCGAGACCTCAGCCAAGCACCCCAGAGCAGGTTTTGGCTCCCGAGGCGAGGGGTAGGTGCAGTTTCAGGAAGGAGGGCAGGTTTCCAAGGCCAGGGGAGGAAGGAAAATGCTTCCCTGTGGCAGCTGAGCCCCACCACCCCTTCCAGGGGTGAGCATGAGGATGCTCCTACACAGAGGGTCCTCCCAGCCCCAGAAGAGCCCTTGAGTCATGCAAAAGAACAGGCACCAAATTGCTGCTGACCTGTGGTCCTGCTCTGCAGTCTCGAGGCTCATCACCCCTGCACAGCCTCTCCCCAGCCCCAGGAGCCTGCATTCTGGGGCCTTCTCAGAGCAGGTAAAAGCATCTTTGCTCTACAAACCACGGTGGGAAACCACCGTGCTTGGTCTGTGAGTGAAACTGCTGAGGGTGGTGACACGGCCCTGAACTTTCAGCACTCGGGGTGTCAGGTTGTGACAGGGTCATGCACATCCCACTCTGAGTCAGGGCTCCAGCACCCCCAGGACAGGTTTTCTCTCCTGGGGTCTGTCCTACCAGGGCTGCCTGTGGTCTTGGGGCTGCTAAATCCCCCTGCCCTTAGGTTTTAGCTGGATTTATCCCAGCAAAATCCACCTTTGCCTCCCAAGGGTGTCCCCAGCCTTCAGCTGATGCTCTCTCCCTGAAGGGGAGGTTTCCCCAAGGGTGAGGGGTATTGTGGCCTCTCACATGTCCCATGGGACACTGTGCCTTACCCACAGCTCCAGCAGGATGGCCACCTAAGCAGCTGATGGAACACTGGAGAAGTCTGGGCTCTTCCACAGCTCCCTTCCCCTCTCTTTAAGGACATTCTCACCCAGATGTTCCTAGTTTTGGGCTGCAGCCTCCTCTGCTGTCCATTTTCTGAAGGAGAAGATAAAAAAGCTTGGCTTTTCTATGCCTTAAGCATTGCATCATCACCCTGAGAGCCTTCACTTTAACTCCTCATCCCCATAGAATCATAGACTCATAGACTGGTTTGGGTTGGAAAGGACCTTATGGTCATCCAGTTCCAAACCCCTGACATGGGCAGTGGCACCTCACACGAAACCAGGTTGCTCCAAGCCTCGTCCAACCTGGCCTTGAACACTGCCAGGGATGAGACAGCCACAGCTTCTCTGGGCACCCTGTGCCAGCGCCTCAGCACCCTCACAGGGGAGAACTTTGCCGGTGGCTCTTAGCCAGCAGCACACAGTGATATTTCCTCTATCTTGGGGTCCAGCTCACGCAGCACTGATTTATGGGTCTATTGTTGCTCTGTTTTGCTGTACAGATGTGGCCCTTCTCCACCAGCATCACAAACTGGTTCCTATTTTCCTTCTCTTGTGAGAATTCTTTCTTGCTCAGAAGCAGAATCATACAATCACCTGATGGATCCTCCAGGCAGAGCTTTCCCTACAAGACAAGAAAAGGGACACACGTTCTCAGTGATAGAGAGTTTTATTTAATTCCTGAGGTTAAAAAAGGAGGAAAAAAGCATCAAGAAACATCCCAGTACACAACCGTCTACATCTCTGTAACTGTACAGACGCTGGGACACGTAAATCCCTCTTTCCCCTATCTGAAGCATGAAGTTTGATGTGAAAAGGGTTTGCAATTCTTTGGCAGTTAAGACCAAAAGATGCTTCTGAACAAGTTACAATCTCAGTGACTGAGCACAGCTAAAACTATAGTGCAATTTCCATTTTCAGTAAGGAGCAAAGACAGGCTTTTGTAGCTTTGCTGTCTTGTAACGCGGTGCACTCTGGTGCAATACACCTCTGGTTTGTCATAAAGCAACATGGAGTAACGCTGAGTAAAGGAACACTGTCATTTCTTAAAGCAACTGCATTCTTTCCTTCACATAAACCTCTGCATAACAACAAATACTACCCACCATTGCTCCAGCACCCAGGAAAAACCTCAATTGCTTCTGCTGACCTCTTTGTCACATGAATGTGACATCCCCTTCAACTCATTTCATCATCAGTTTTAAAAGGGCTTGACTGTTTGCTCTGCACATCCCCTGAGGTGGAAAAGGTTCCTTCTTCCAACTGACAGGATGAGATTCCTGTTCTTGAATAGTTGCTTGGAGCAGTTGCACTCCAGCCCACTTGTGGTACGTTACCAGCCAGTGTATTTAATCTTTTTTCTCCCTCTTAAATACTCTTCTTGGTTAAAAGCAAACTTTTCATCTTTAAAGTACAGGTTCTGGCTCCTTCTCTTAGTGTCCGCTTTCAGAGAGCAGTAAAGCCCCATAAAACTACTCTCATGGGGCAGGAAAACCTGAAGAAAAGGTACCATAACAACACAAATGCTAACTAAAACCAATCCAGTGTTTTTATTCCCCTCCTCACTGCTTCAGCCAGCCTCAGGACTGATTACATGGAAGGCTTGCAGGGAAACACCTGCCTTACTAGATGGAGGCAACTACTTGAAGAGCTAATAACCTTTAAAATACTTAATAATACTTAAAATATACTTAAAACCATTAAAAATACTCGCCAGAGGATGAAAAATGTTAAGAACTGGGATGCAGAGAGGAAATCAAGAGGCAAATCTGTCAAAGAACTTTGAATGAAGACATTTCAAATACTTCTGAGCAGAGATGTATGTCCTATTTTGGCTTAAGATACTTGACAGTGTCCCTTTACCTTACATTTGGCATTTTAAGAAAGGTATCCTAGTAAGATTAGTATTCTAGCTAAACCAACAGCAAAATGCTTTTAAAAAAACACACCTGAAAGCTTAAAGGAAAACTTGAGGAGCAGCTCAGTGAAGCTGCAGAGAATATGGTACACATTTTTAAGCAATAAATAATCTTTTCTTGTCTGATTAAATATAAAACATAGCTTCAACACTGAAATTTGCCATAACTCACCAACCGATCCGTGTGCCTGTTATTGCCTGTTTATTGCCCACTTCAGTCTCTTGTCCATCTCACTGCCATGCACACAGCCAGGTCAGGGTTTAACTGCATTGCAGCCTGTGCCCTCAGGAGGGGAGTAAACCAGTTTGCACCTTCCACTGGTGCCTGGTGGAGGCTGGGAGCACGCCACCAATTCTGGGAAGAGGCATCTGAAGGGAAGGCTATTGATGAGCTGGATGAAGCAGACACCTAAATCTAGGTGCTCCATGAAACGGAGCCATCCTTTCACTGTTTTTTCCAACATCACTGGATTTATGCATTGTTACCAACTGGAATGAATGATCAGCAACCTTCAGCTTCACCTGCAGTATTCTTTCCTTTCCTATAATCAGAATTTCCCTCTACCTTGGCTGCTGCTATGTAAATAGAATCACAGAATCGACTTGGTTGGAAAAGACCTTTAGGATCATCAAGTCCAACCACTGAATCTCCAACACTTACCCTGTGAACCCCACCTTTTAAACAACCAGCCTTTTGGTGTAGGAGATCCCTACAGGTAATGGATCAGACCTGCAACACAAAACACCAGCTGGACTCTCCTGGCTACCTTCCCTAGTCGAGCTGATCCCTCCAAATCCCTTCCCTTGCTTTTGCACTTACAAGATTTGCCCCTTTCCCCTCCCCTAAATCATATGCTTCAGCTTGTGCTGTTCTTTCCCCTCATGGTTTATTTGCTGTCTCCCACCATGACCCCTTGTATACCAGCCACCAAGAGTCTACAGGGCTCCTGGCAGGCTGTGTTGGCCTTCTATTAAATGCTGTGCTAAAACCTTCCAGGTTTGAGGTTTCCCCGGGAGAACAACATCATGAGAAATCAAACACACCTAAAATGATGAGGAGGGCTGATCAGGAGAAAGAGCTTTTCTTCTTTCTCCTGTCAAATGTTTTGCCTTTCCATTAGAAGACAGGATTTTTAAAGAGAAAAACCCCTCATTTTAGATATCTTGACAAAAAGTTGAAATTCTATATAGACAGCAGATGGTTTGCATGGAAATGTTGCATAAATGAGAACCCAGCCTGCCCTAAAGGGCAGGACTGAGAGCCAGCTTTATCCCCAAATCTGAGACAAACTTAGCAGCTGGCTAGGGCAAGTGCAAGGGGTAGGAAGGGACAGAATACACCAGCACTGGGTGAAGAGCCCATGGGGCTGGATATGCATTTGGGTTTGGATGGATGTTTTGAGACTGATTCAGACATTATTGCTACGTTCCATGTGTTCCAGAGAGAGAGAGAGACACTGCTGACCCCCTCAGAAACTGTGCTTCCCTGTGAATGCTGATGACTAAGGTGCTAAAGCAGGAAAAGGGAATGCTCCCTTTCCTAATACCACAGTGAGCAGTGCTTCATTCTACAAATGACACTCCTGATTCTGCTGCTGGTACTCACCATAAGCACTGGTTTCAGTGCACCAGCTTACAGACGCTGGTGAGAAAAAGTGAAAGGAGTTGCTGCTTCCTGTTGTGTTGTTTTGTAACTGGCATTCAGTACCACAGCATTTTTAAAAGCCAGGTAAGACTTCCCAAATCTTATCCTAAAATGTAAGAATCCCCTATGTTTGCTGTTTATAAAACCTGGAAAAGATAAAATCTTCCAGTTGGATTACTCTATATGCCTGTGAAGATGGAAGCATTGCATACTTGCTGTTCTGACTGCAGGAGCAGCAGAGCAGAACATAAGTGGTTGTATTTACTCCTCAGTGAAGAGGTCAACAAAAATACACTTCTTTTTTTCTTAAATTTCCTTTTGACGGAGATTTTTGGAAGGAATCAAAATTTCACTTTGCATTAACACTCCCCCACACTTATTTTTCTCTGCACTGAAACTGATTCTCGACCTGTTACATCAAAGAACATGGCTTTTCAGCAATCTGTACACAGTACAGAACCATTAGTGTTCCTAAAAAGACTTCCATTTTTAGTGTATACACATTCTCTAAGTGCATTATAACTATTGCATAGTTTCAAAGTCTTCAAATACAGTGGTAATCATAATGCTTCTGTGTACATAAATAAGATCATTTCTTAAAAAATTAATTTAAAATAACACAGTATAAGTCAAGGCTATGGAAGATCACTTCCATCATAGATGACAGGTCGCTCGACAGCCAAGTGATAGAACACTCTCTTTGAGATAAACCTGTCAAGGGAAAAAAGAGAGAAAGATAATCACATTAGCTGAAGACAATTAGACAGGAAGCCTGGATTGCAGGCTTTCAGCTCATACTCAGTCAAAACACTGACTGTTGTTAACAAAAGAATGCCTGTGCAACAGCTGCCAGGGCTGTTGTTAATATAAGATGACAATCCTGACTAAACTGTCTTGGAAATAGTCACAAGTGACTGGCTTACTTCTGTTTACCTTCCCAGATGTTGAGACAGAAAGGTGGAATTCTGGTGAGGTGAAGTTTAAAACCAAAACAAGAACAAGAACCAAAACTCAGGCTGAAGATATTCTGGCAGGCTGGGACCAATTCCTTATCCTTACTTCTGAATGGCAGAATACTGGTACACCTGATCATAGAATCATAGAATGGTTTGGGTTGGAAGGGACCTTCAAAGCTCATCCAGTTCCAACCCCCTGCAATGAGCAGGGAGATCTCCAACCAGATCAGGTTGCCCAGAATCACATCCAGCCTGGCCTAGGATGTCTCCAGGGATGGTTCATCCACCGCCTCTCTGCGCAGCCTGTGCCAGGTTTTTACCACTCTTATTGTAAGGAGTTTCTTCCTCACATCCAGCCTGCCCTTGCTTTGAGTTACAGCAGTGATCTCACAAAGAGATCTTCTCAGACCATGACCATGATGGACAGAGTACCCCTCATGACCATGGTCAGTTCCACAGTCTGTAAAACTAACTTTTCCAGCCAGCTAGGACCTACCTAGAGAATGTGTTGTCAAATATCAGCGTGTAGATTCCAGAGTTTCTGACTTTCACCTGTCCTCTGATAGTTTCCTTATGAGAGTTGCAGCGGGTCATAGGAATAAGGACCTGGAATTCAATACAAATCAAAATGAAACTTGCCATTTGCCCTATAAATTGACATTTGCCTTCATATTCAGACTTGAGCTATCTTGAAGCTCTCACAGTCCTTCTGTGCCTGCAAGACTACTTATTTTCACTGATTAGCATTAAAAATTCACCCAAACTAACACCTCACATTGAGACATCTGCTTTCCTTTAATAACCTCTTTACAGCATTAAACCATGGCTATAAATCTCTGCTTTAGAGACAGAGTCAAACCCGCATCTTTTTAATGTTAATCTAAGTAAGTTTACTAACATCAGCAATGATCCATTAAATATATCCAAGAGCATGATTTAGCTAAGTATGTCTGGTAATACCTGGTTTTATACTCCCAGCATTATAAAATAAGCTTTCTCAGCAAATCTGAATTGTTTATCTAAGCTGACAGCAAAAGTATGTGTTACCATCTATCTTGCTGTAAAACTCTACCAGAGACAGTTGTCAGAACAGCAAGTGACACAGATCAAAGACAAGCCTATAAACCCCAAAGTTGTATCAAATAGATGTACCAAAAAGCAATATTCACTTTTCCTTCAGCTTTCAGGTTAAGAAAAAAAAAAAAGAAACCATGGAGGGAATTAATGCATACTATAAATGTCGTCTTGCCCCAGAGAAATCACAGCCTTAGAATTCATAGACTCACAGAATAGTTTGGGTTGGAAAGGACCTTAAGATCATCCAGTTCCAACCCCCTGCCATGGGCAGGGACACCTTACACCAGACAATGCTGCCCAAGGCTCTCCACCCTGGCCTTGAACACTGCCAGGGATGGAGCAGCCACAGCTTCTCTGGGTACCCTGTGCCAGAAACCTCAGCACCCTCACAGGGAAGAGCTTCTTCCTTAGATCTAACCTGAACTTCCCCTGTTTCAGTTTGAACCCATCACCCCTTGTCCTATCGCTACAGTCCCTGATGAAGAGTCCCTCCCCAGCATCCTTGTAGCCCCCTTCAGACACTGGAAGCTGCTCTGAGGTCTCCACGCAGCTTCTCTTCTCCAGGCTGAACAGCCCCAGTGTTCTTAACCTGTCTCCATACAGGAGGTGCTCCAGCCCCTGATCATCCTCGTGGCCTCCTCTGGACTTGCTCCAACAGCTCCATGTCCTTCTTACGTTGAGGACATCAGAACTGCACACAGTGCTGCAAGTGCAGTCCCCCCTTACCACAGTGGGTTAAACCAACAGCTGCCCTGTCTTCATTAAAACTTTGTAATTAGCTGAATAACATTGATTCACTTAATCCATAATCCTCAGGAAATACAGACAGCACACATAGAAAATGGTACCTGGGGCACTGGCAAAGCAATTCTGCATACCATCAAGGCACTTAAGTCTGTGCCTCACTGCTTCATCTGTCTCCTTGTGGCCTCTGCTTAAGAGCAGAGAGAGGAGGGGGAAAAAGAATAATTTTGGAGACTTGGACTTTTATCTTTGATTAATAACAAGGTGAATTTTAGATGTGACCTATAGAAGCTACAGTGCTTTTCAACTTCACATTTCCAGGCAACACGAAGATGTAGCTCTGCCTTCAGCAGCACTGTAGCTTAATTGCAGAATCAAGTCCTTAATGCAATAGCAACTGGCACTCTTGTGGATACCTTCTAGCTATATTTGCTGATTCCTCTGGTGGCTGACTGTAGTGTACTACAACCTCTTGTAACAAGGAAACAAAGGCCTTACTTTGCACTGCTCCAGCGGTGTGTCCTCTGATTCTTGGTAGACAACGCTGAAGGATATGCTTTTAGGGTCTGATGAAAAGATCCAGCTGATTGTTAGCCCTGTCTCTGTAACAGTGATGGGAATGATACTGTAGGTGCTGGACTTAATGAACAGCTCTTTGTTGCTTTCCCCAAAATTTAAGATCTCTTCCACTGTAAGGGGTAATCTGACCCTGGGAAGGAGAAAAATACAATTACTTGAAGAGACCCAGTGGTTTTAAACCATGACACCCAGTCTAATCACTCAGACAGAAACAGTAATCATTGTCTTTTATTTTCCATCTATTTGAGGCAGACTCCACAGAAACTTTGGCACATGTTCACAAGATGCAGGAAAATTCAGCCTGGGATGAAGGCAAGAGGTACAGAAGAGATGACTGATATCAAGCACTTTCACTACTCTGGCAAATGTGGATATTATTCACTTATTTAGTTCATTTTGACTAGAAAAATGTAGTGCTTGAATAAAGCTTTATAGAATTACAACGCAAGGAGTACAACACATAGAGTACAACAAAAAAGGTCTGCTGCCCTCTACTGTTCTTTTTAAAGAAAAACTGAAACAAAAAATAGTCACCTAATTTGTTCACCTTTCCAGATACTATTTATTCAGGAAATAGGGATCAGGAGTACAGATGGGACAGAGGGTTGGAATGTGAACAGCAGCTCTGCCTAGATCCTCCAAAGCATCTAATGCTACAGCTGTTTTACCCAAGCAAGCTGCATAAAAGCTGACTTAAAGTACAAGGAAAAACGGAGTTCTTAGATGATCCCAAGTCCTGAAGCATTGTATTAGCCTACCTCATTCTGATATGTATTCCAAAATGCAAACAGTGAGGCCCTTAAACAGGAGAACGCTGCTTGCTCTCTTCAGGAGAGACCTGTCATTTCTAAGAGCTGTGGATCTCCTCTACATGACCCTAAGTAAAACTGATCTAACACCTCTCTCCTTAGGCCAACTAAATTGTTTCCAAATCAGTGGGCTCACAGCAAACCACAGTACCGCGATTTGTTATCAAAACCCAACACATTTACCAGAGGATATTATACAGTCACCATGACAATTTGCTGCTCTAGAGTAAGGAAGAGCTCAGTGTCCAGCCATGGCTACACAGTGCTTAGGGATCGCAACAGAGGAAACTTTATATGAAGTTTTGCCTAACTTGCTACTTCCTCTTGGCTGAAGTGTGTCTTGGTGTTCTGGGGTGTCTCAGGTGTTCTTTGATTTTAATACTCTTGGGTTTGCCCTACAGCCCAGCTATGATTTTAGTTACTGGTTCTGCAAAGAGCAGCAACCAGATTGAAACACGGACTAATTTACCTCCCTGCAGACTGAAGTTTAAAACCTTCCCCGTAACTATGCCAAAATTTCAAAGCTAGGCCTAAGGGGACAGGGAAAAAAGGGGAATTTCTCCATGTGCCAGGCATTTACGTATGTTAGATTCCCTTTTTGGCTGTGCAAGTGACATGCTGTATCACTACTGCATGCAACTGTTAATTTCAGAGCAGGATACAGCAGGGAATTGTGTGCACACTCTTCACAAAGGTTGAACAGAGGTTCAGCTGAACATTTGATGCTGAACATATTATGCTATGCTAGGCAATGCAGTTTCCATGAGACCACCAATAAATAATACATACATGCTCTAAAAGGCCACAAATTCCCTCCCTGGGACAAAGGTCTAACTCACACTGCACTTCCTGACTTGCCCTTGCAGTTTCTTCCAGAGACTACAAGAAATACATGGCCTTCTCTCTAAGCCCCCTTCCTGTTCATTGCACCTCCTTCAATCAGAACAGGAAAGAAGGTTTTCTAATGTGATGTGGACCCAGATCTTTCCTTCTTGCTCCCTCTTGCACTGAAGTTTTGCAGGGCTGAAGAGAGAGGGCCCCGCTTATTGCTCCTGCTCTGTGTAGCTGAGCTATACCCTCTGCTCCTCCTCCTCAGACCAAATTCTACTGTGATCAGCTCTCCCAGGAGTCTGCAACTTATTCTTGCATGGCTGATACTTGAGCTCAGTCTACTCTTTTAGGTTGCTAGTAATGAAACTGTTCTGCTTACATGATTTCTCCTGACTTCAACAAGCATATCTCAGCATCTTGAGCAACTTGCCACTCTTCCGATTCATCAAAGGTTGAAGAATTGCACGTGCTGTTTCTAGGACAAGATAAAAGAGGAAAGACATGATTCTCTGAGTGATATGTGGTCAAATACCATCTGCATGCTGATGCCTTCCTAAAACAGAAACCTTCCGACAGTCACGATGCCCAATTCTAGAATCTTTATTTTGTGAATTCTAGTGACAAAACTGGGCAAAACTGCAGCCCCAATCTGCTACCCACTGTGCACAAATGGCACACTCTTCTGATCCTGTTTCCATGAGCTAGGAGCACATACATCCAGAACATCCCTCCTACAGTCTGAAGATAATCTGAGATGCTGCCAGGTTTTAGAGATTCCCTGGCAGGTGGAAATCTTGATGGAGGGCAGGCACAAGCAAGACTTGTCCTTTAAAGAAGCTTCCACAGGGATGTGCCATTTGCCCTGGATTTAATCTGTGAGGTGTTTTACAGACATGTTATCCAGTTCCCTACTCTGACAATGGTGCCCCAGGTGTATCTTATTGCTGTAGAATCACTACCATGTATCTTCTTTTCATAGAAGAAATACTGGGTGATTCAAACACAAATACCTCAAAACAAGCTGTTACAGGACAAAGCAGGATACCTCCTCCCCACCATGATGCATCCAGAAGAGCAAAGGAAGTAGATGGAATAACCTGCCATGGATGGTAAGGAATAGACTCCTTGCCTCCAAAAGGGTGCAAGCTCTGGGTGAACACTGGGGTATCACTGGCTAGGAATTACAGGACTGGGACACAGACAGAATGAGCTTGAGAGTCAGTAAACAAGTGCTGATAGTTTCCATGTAAGAGCTTCTCTAACTGATACTTACTTTGCTTCTCTGCACCTCAGCAGGTTGATCAACTGAGACAATTAGGCTGTCTTTCCCAGAAAAAAAGCCAAGGCTTCTTATACACAGGGAACCAACTGGTTGGTTCCTTCCAAAAACCAGTGGTATCTAATAAAACCTTGTATCACATGTAGCATATGTGCTTCTGAACCATCAATCATGTAGCAACAGCATAACTGCCACACATTCTGTAGACCGATTCTTAAAACCAATGCACAGTTCAGCATTTTCTTTGAAATCCTATGGGACCTTGCTCTATAAGCAGCAGTGTTGAGTAGAAGAGCAGGAGAAAACATCTCCAGGTAACAGCACCTTCAGTCCACAGATTCATGGAATGGTTTAGGTTGGAAAGGACCTTAAGATCATCCAGCTCCAACCCCCTGCCACAGATAGGGACACCTCACACCAGACCAAGTTGCTCCAAGCCCCTGTGTCCAACCTGGCCTTGAGCACTGCCAGGGATGGGGCAGCCACAGCTTCTCTGGGCAGCCAGTGCCAGCATCTCAGCACCCCCACAGGGAAGAACTTCTGCCTTAGATCTAACCTGAACTTCCCCTGTTTCAGTTTGAACCCATCACCCCTTGTCCTATCACTACAGTCCCTGATGAAGAGTCCCTCCCCAGCATCCTTGTAGCCCCCTTCAGACACTGGAAGCTGCTCTGAGGTCTCCACGCAGCTTCTCTTCTCCAGGCTGAACAGCCCCAATGTTCTCAGCCTATTAACAGTCATACCAGGACCGTTTATACCCTAAGGAGACAGCTGTGACCTGCAGGAAAGACTCAAACCTGTCACTAAGTGCCCAAACCTGAGCAAGAAACAAGCACAGTCTGTCCACTGAAATGCAGGAATGAAATACTACATTTTCATCCCTAAAGGTTAATACAACACCTATGCAAATAAAGCAATACAAATAATTTATTATCTTTACACAACTATGTAAGAAAACTGCTTCTGATAAAAACCCTAGAAAACTAAACTACAGCCTGTAAACCTATGCATATATTTTGTTTGCACAGCAGCAGACTTCATGCTGTGATTCACAGAACTCTACCCTCTCACCACGACAGGTACACAGCTTTCATTTTGCAGCCTGGAATTTATACAGACCAAGAGAACTAATATAGAATCATAGAATAGTTAGGGTTGGAAAGGACCTTAAGATCACCCAGTTCCAACCCCCCTGCCATGGGCAGGGACACCTCACACTAAACCATCTCACCCACGGCTTCGTCCAACCTGGTCTTGAACACTGCCAGGGATGGAGCATTCACAGCCTCCCTGGGCAACCCATTCCAGTGCCTCACCACCCCAAGAGGAAAGAATTTCCTCCTTATATCCAATCTAAACTTCCCCTGTTTCAGTTTTAACCCATTACCCCTTGTCCTGTCACTACAGTCCCTAATGAAGAGTCCCTCTCCAGCATCCCTATAGGCCCCCTTCCAATACTGGAAGGCTCCTATGAGGTCTCCATGCAGCCTTTGGTTCCCAGAAGTGTCTAACTCCGTGATCTATTATGCAATGCCATTAGAGTTCCCTATTTAATCCATTATTTCACCTTTCTTTTGGGACCTGGAAATGTAAATTGAATCCCAGGACCAATACATTTTCCATGTTCTCCTATGAAATGTGATTTTCCTTATTCCTGCTGCTTCAAGCAAGCACATGGCTTGGTGGTTAGCTTGCCACTTGGATGCTCTAATCCATAAATTCAGCAGACCTACTCGCTATAGGTTAAGGGAACACTAAGTCTTCTACTTTGTCTCTTAAACCCAAGTGCATTACAATCACAAAGCAAATCTCCCTTCTCTTTAAGATATCCCATTGAGTCCAATGGTCTAAGCTGAGGTCTGGTAGCCTATATGGAAAATATAAGAAACAGTCCCAAGATTTAACAAGAGCTCTTGTTCCCTGACAGAATTGATTCTTGCCTGGCTTTTCACACCAGGTGGCAGCATTAAGGATGTTCCTGCAGCTTGCCAGTTCCCCAGCTTGTGAATATGCACCCTCTGGTATCTATTAAAACAGTCTGGACTGTTTCTCTTCTTTGTCTTTTGAAAGTGAAGCGGGTCTGAAAAGCAGGAAGAACTGACACATGGGAAAGACACTACAGCAAGAAGAGAACAGCTCTGGTTCAGCAGCTCCTTGAGACAAGTATTGTCAGAGGCTGGTGGAGCATTTTGAAGAGGTATTACTTAATGCTTGTCCTGTTCTTATGCTCTTCCTCAGGCATCTGCTGTTGGTCACTATCCCTCCACTGAATGGTCTTATAAGATATACTTAACTCAGTGACCAGTTTTGGCTCAGGATCAGCTCTGATCAGGAAAAGCATGAAACACCTAATGCTGATCACAATGTCTTTACTAGTGGGATTGTATTTCCTCTTTCCTGCAGGCTGCCTATCTCAGTATTTACAAAGAAAAGAAAAGAAGCTGTAAATAGCTGCCAGATTTTCTAGGCAGTTTTATAGTGGGTACATAAACTAAGTGACATCATATACCCTTGGGCTCTAACACCAAGATGCTCTAACATTCCTCAGATGTAAACTCTCATGCCTTAATTCCCACACACTCTTTGCACCACGACGTCTTTCTTGGTTTTCCTGGCATCTCCTTGGCACCCTGGATCTCTTGCCTTGAAACTCTGGGTTCCTTAAATTGTTCTCCTTCCTTGTTCCTGCAGTTCCTCTTTTCCACCTCTGGCCTTTTAATTTCTCAGTGGAAGGCAAAAAGGTGCACAGGGGCAGTGCAGACTGGGGCAGAAAGTATGCAAAAGCTCCTGCAGAGAGTGGCAGAACAGGAGTGAAGACTGGATTAGGGAAAAGAAAGAAGGGATGCTGCAGAGGAGCTGAGGGAGAGCTTTATGCAGCTGTGGGCTACATATGATGAAAACAGGGTTGGGTCTGGCCCAAAGGCTGAAAGTCCTTTGTATCACAGCTTTCAGATACCAGGTTTAACCTGTTTCAAACCATTCTTGCAATAGCCATGTTCACTCTGGATGTTCCTTTTCTCCCCATATTCGGTCTTTCCTACCAGATGACTGCAGCTCAGTTGTATCTGACCTTTATTGGCACCATGACATCCATATCACTTTTTTCCCCTTAGCTGTTTATGCAATCCTTTCCTTACTACCCAATTCCTCTTGTTTCTCCCATAGTGAAATAGCGCAACATCCTTAAAAACAAAACTAGGAAGTAATGTGCTGTGCTTGTGTGGCAAGTAAAGCTGCTCCAACAAGGCTGCTTTTATCAGCAGAGAGTGGTGAGAAGCTCTCCTGTCCCCACTTCTCTCCCTTGCTGGTTCTGTGCAGGCCAGAGAATGCTTCAGACCACAGTCAGCTCCCCCTTTTGGCTACACTGGCACCCTGCCCAGCCATGTGAGTTGTAATCAGGTCAGGAAAGACTGTTATGAGTCTCTAAAAAACAAGAATCCAAACCAAAGCAACCACAGTGCAGACAGGCCAAGATGTGCTTTCTACCAAAAGCAGCCAAAGGTGTGAATACACACAAAAGGTGTGAACAAAGACATTGTTTCCATACCAGGGTAGTGGCACCTTTTGGTTTTTTTCACACTTCTGTTTTGATCTTGATTCTGCTGCTGCAATGTTAATTGCAGGCATGGAATTTCTACAATATGTGAAAATGGGAACACTGGTTTACCCTGGGGACTTTGATCCAGTGTTATGCAATATCCTCCTGACCTGTGTTTTAGAACACAATCTGCAAATGTGAAAAGAAATAAGAGCTTCAAAATACAACACTCCAAAAGAGAACCCATGAGCCTTGAAGTAGCAGGATGTGCTGCAACTGCACAATTTACCTCAGCTTCTCACAATCAGATTGCTTCAAACTTACGTAACAGACCTGAAAGCATGAAGTGACTACTCTTTAATCCTAGCCTTTAGGAAAGCGCAGTGTAATAGACACCAAAAGGGGCACAAGTAAAAAGGAAAATATCCTTTAAGATCATTCACTCTTTTGAGCACTAACTTGCATTTCCAGGCAGCAAGGACTCACACCCAGAATAAGGTAAGGCAAGCGTGAAAATCTCAGCCACACTGAGATGCTCAAGTCATCCACAGTGTAATTCTCCATCCAAGCAATTCTCCTCTCCAGTGTTCAGAGTGTCTCAAGCACAGAGTAGGACTGATGAACCAAGAGCAACAGAGGTTAAAACACTATTACTTGGCTTTCCTACCTCTAAGCTGTGAACAAGGGGCGACAGACAGCTTCTAACAGTTTACACGGTCAAGCAGGATGTTGCACAAGTGCCCTTCAAGAGTAGTATTCCATCACTAGTGGCAATCCTTCCGTCCAGCTTTAACATTTTGTGGGACAAGTTGAAACAAATGGTGACACACACTAATTTCTTTAGTCCTGGTTGTAGTCACCGGATCTAACTCATTGACATCCCCTCTGCAGACAGCATGAATTCGAAGTACATTACACTTGGTTTTCTTCTTAAAAGAAACAAAAACCCCACGCACAAATTGTCCCTTGGCAAAACAAGGGCCAGATTCACTTCAAAAGAGCACTGTGAAGTTCAGTTTGCTCATGTCTGTCTAATGCATGAAAAACATACACTGTCACAGTACACAAAATGAGCAGGATACATACAACTTATTTACCAACAACAAAATTGGATTTTTTTCCCCCAACTAAACCAGTCTGTACAGTCTGCCTTCTACCCAAACTGCAAAATGCTGTGCTTTGTGCTGGAAACTGGTCTGCTGAGGGCAAAAGAGTCAAAGTCTGCTTCCTCAGCAGCAGGCTGGTTACTCTGTGGCTATCTTCAGCTTAGCATTTTCATTTATCATGCTTCTTTTCCTGCTCAGAAGCAGAACAAGCCCAGAACTGAGGTGAAAATGCCCTCTTTTTATTTTGATTCTCAAATATATAGGAGATTTTGAAAGACTATATATTACAGAACAGAAACTTTGGAAAATATTTAGTAGCATTTTAACAATATTTTGTCTAAATATGGATATATATTAAACTCTAATGCCACAACATATTTTGCAAACCAAGTACTTTGATATTCAGATGGCCTTAGGTCCTCTTCCTTGCTCATTTATGTAAACTAGATGTAAAAGACATGACTGAAACCTGCATTTGTGCTCATTTCAGAAAAAAAGAATAAACTTGTGCCAGATTTAGCTATGCAGTTCCTGTTCTTTTTGCTTTTTGTAAGTAGCTATCTCTAAAGCAGTAAGGAATCCTACAGATGCAGACCAGCTAGTTCATATTCAGTTCAATAAAGCCTGTCATAAAAAGAGCATATCTTTCCTTATCTTTTCCCGGCCTCCTTGTTCACTTGATATTAAGTAATGGTGAGTCTGATAAAGAGTACTGCTTTGCTCCTACTGTAAGTTAAGTGTGAACGTGATCCAGTGTAGCCTGCAAGCTAATTTTGACATGCACTGAACTGTGACTACTCCTCTGTGCTGTGGTGAAGTAGGTGGACCTGTTTGGATTCAGTAGACTTGATGTGGATTGTGCAAACAGGCCAAAATCAGTTTGTGTTGGTCTACTGAACACGTGGCTGGTAGCAGAAGTGTCTTCTCTGTATGCAGAGGTTGGCTATCCCCAGTGAACTGAAAAGTAACTCAAAAAACAGTACTGCAAATAAAACCCAGAAGAGTCCCCTCTCCACGAAGCAGTGTTTACTCACAGATCTGTCACGCTTTGATCCAGAGAATCTTGCTCCATCTGACTTTCACTGTGGAGAGAGTCCGATTCCTGTACTTGGCACAGCTCCTCATCAGTGATTATATCAAATGCTGCATCATCTGGTGGTTTCGAGGCTTCACCTGAAATGGTGCCATTCAAAGATACAAAAAGAAACATAAAACAATATTAGCTGCTTGTCTGGAAACCAAACAAGGAAAACCCTTACAGGGGAAGCCTGAGCCATTCCTTTACTTTCACGGAAGCATTAGGTCACTATTGGAATCAACCGAAAACCTCAGGCTGAACGACACTCATTGAATACACATGCAAATGTCTGTCAATACTCATCAAATTCAATAATTGGACCAGTCCCACCCTGAAAACACTCCATGAACATGTAGGTCCTTGATGCACGAGGTGGCCATGGGGTTTCTTGGATAATGCCTAAGAACTCTGCTTGTTTCCCCAGAGCATGCAAACAATAAGCTAACCAAAAGCCCCCTCGGATGGTGACACGGGTGATTCCAGTGAAGCTGGTGATCCTTCCTGGTTGGCACTGGATCCAGAGTCATCTGTACTGTCCACAATGACTCTAGGCTTATTAAAGCAAGCTCTGCAGCAACGCTCCTTCTTTCCACCAGGCTTTGTCACCATGTAGTTGTTGCAGCAGTAGTAGCAGAAAATGCGACCGCACATTCTAGAAATGAGTCAAAACCAAAGGTGTTAGAATAGTACCACATCCAGGTGGAACACATCCATGTGACAGAGCCAGGGGCTTTGTCATGATGGTCTTGTTCTTTGCAAAGGCACAAATGCTGTACCCATGTACTCAATACAGACTGTGCTGCTTCCTGAGATGAAGCAAGTTTTCTTGACAAACAGGACAGATTCATACTTAACTGCCTTAATAAATAGGGAAAACAGAAAAAAAAACTAAAAAAAAAAAACACTAAAAACCCAATTACATATACATTTAAATATAAAAACATAAGCCAAATAAATACTCACCAATGTGCAATACAAATAAATATTACATATATTGAAGGAAGGAAATATACTTACAAATAAATATTACATATATTGAAGGAAGGAAATATACTTAACAATATTACACAGGCCAAATCTCATACTCAGAGCCAAACTCCATTTCATTGTAAGGGCTACAAGAACACATCTAGACATCTCTATTAATAACCATCCTTTTCCCCTTCAGACAGGGGAGAAAAACCAGCATTGGACACATATATGAACACCCACCCCTCCTGCTCTCTCACCTCTGCAGCCTCTCAGTACTAAACCTGACAACTACTTCTTAATGAATGTGTTAAGATTTTCCTGAAGAAAAGCACCCAGCAGGGATGACTGCTCTTCATGAAGTCTTGGTGGTTTTGGTTTCTTAAATAAATCATTAGCAGCTGAAAACACAAGCAGGTTTTGCAGATTTTAGTAGAAATGAGTAATCTGGAAGTTGGTACTGGAAATGACTTCACTATTCATTAATCCTCATTGAATGTTCCCTACGTTCATATGCAATTGAAACAGTCCTAGTACTACTCACCTTAGAGGATGAATCGAGGATAGAGAACAGTAAAGAGAGACAAAACAAACATGACTAAGACCCTGAAATGTATCCACTTAAATACATTTCAGTAAATCTAGATCAAGTCATTAGTTAACTCCAAGCAGGCTCACTGCATAGGAAGTAATTTAATGTTAAGGTTTTTTTACAGTTTACTCTGCAATCAGCAAATATCCCTGAGCATACCTAGCGTAAGGAACCAAATTTGTAATTGCACAGCACGTTGCTTGTGTTCTGAAATACTTCTATCACAATAGCAAAATCATTTTAGTGAATATTGTTTACACCATGCACAGAGCAGTGCATAATAAATACATTAAAACATGGACACACGCTATATAAGGTGTGATTATCTTTGTTTCCAGAAATGAGAAACTAAGTTGCATCCAGATTCTTGCCTTAATACATGTCAAGAGACCTTTCCATTGATGTCTCTTTTCCCCTTGTGAGCTCGTGTTCTTTCAACCTCTACAATGACTCGTATTAATGATTTTGACCAATGAACTGTGAACATTAGGAAGTACTTCATCCATAAAAACATTTAAACTGGATTTTGCTTTTGAGCAGCGTAGTGGAGTTCCACAAACTGACCTGCAGTGGTGTCGGCGCACCATCCATGAGAACTCTTTCTGGCAGTCCAGGCAGTGGTTAACCTCCGTGTCCCCCTGCCACCTTTGCTCTGCACTAAGCTTCTGCTGGAACTCCAGAGCATCTGATTTTTGCCACAGAGCATCTTTATCTCTGCAGAGACACAGTTAAAAGAGAGGAAAAACACACAGAAATGATTACTGCTGGTTTACTGATAACCGACCTCAACTTGAACGTTGGCAAAAGTTTCACAGTAAAAATTGCTTTGATGAAACTTCTGAGGAGGTTTCAGACATAAAGATAGATCAGAAACCCACCAAAGCTCTTAGGGAGGAGCAGAGAAAAACGTATGTCATGGAGAGAACTACGTATTTTTGCAAAACAGACAGCAAATTAAGGAGGAAATAATAGTGGATGCTATATTTTTGACTGCATTATGGAAATGCAGAGTTTCAACTGCTGCTGAACTTGGCCATTACCTGTATCTTCCACTCAGGAATACAAGACTGAACCACCCTTAACATCCTAAGCTAGGATTTTAATCGCTTCTTGCTCTTTATTTTAATGCCAACCTGATAAGTTCTATCAAACGTTCTTCAAGGAACTGTTTTGTTCTTGTCAGATCATCCACTTCAGCAAATAACTTCTGGTCGCTTCTGTCTTTGTCTGCTGCCACCTTGCGGAGCTTCTCACTGTAATCCAGGACCTTCTCTTTTGCTTCCTCAGCTTCTTTTTGCATCCTGATCAAATACAAAGGCAATTAAGAATAATTTAGCTCATGTGCATTCAAGTCTTCCCCATGGAAGAAAGGGGTCCTTCACCCTCATAAACAGATATGTTCTCAGTGTGCATAGTTTTTACAGTTAGTCAGAATCTCTCCACTTTTCTACATCACTGAAAGTGCACACAGATCTGTTATCTAGTGAACACACTCAGCAACCAGCAATTTCTTGGATGCCCTGCTTATAGCAAAGCTTATGATGGCTACCACACTGGGAGTAAAATAGCTGTTCTTGGAAGCTAAGATCAGCAGCAGCTGCAAACTGAGCTTCACGTTCACAAAAGGGAAGCAAACCAGTTTCTCACTATGCTCTTCTAACACAGATGCAATTCAAGAACTAAAGGCTAGAGACAACTCAGTTCACTGCACAGTCAGTGGAAGGAAATTTTCCCAGGAAGCTTCCAAGAATGTAAGTTTTGAGTTAACAATATGGCAGTTTCAGTCCTGTGAGTCCCAGCAATGGATCAAAGATGCTACAGCAACACAACCCAAAACGGTTGAGCTGCTCTGAACTCACTCAGCTAATTCAACTGTATTCAAATATTTTGACGAGTTAGATTTTGCACTGACAACCTTCAGTACAGATCAAGAATCATCAGTCTTCCCACAAAGACAGATGATATCAGCACAAAAAATGTACAAACAAAGTTGGTTAACCGAAACTCTGTGTGAGCCCATGCCCCATGAAGATCTATTCTGGACTGCCAGTTAATCCACACCACACAGGCTCACATTTCAAACCTGTGTTAGATACTTTAAACTGATAAGAAACATGACAAAGACATGCAGGATGTGGCCCCATTCAAATAATTCTTACTGATTCTCTGAAATATTGAGGAGAGGAAAAAAAAACCTGTTAAAAAGCACAAATTTTCCATTCCTTATGAAAACAAAGAGCCAATATTGATGCTTTAGTTTTGTTATTACGCTGTAAGGTAAAAAGAAGCTGTAAAATGTCTTTCAGTCTCATAAAGGAAGTCATACAATGAATTTATGTCATCAGCTAAATTAAAAATACAACAAAACCCAACCTTGCACTTACGTGTGCTGTGCAATTTACAGATTTCTCATCTGAAGTGTCAACCTCATACTTTCCACCAGTGCCCAGGCACTATTTGCCCTATATAAACCCTGTGGCATATGCCACTTCATAACCCACAGCCATTTTCAAGATGCTTTGGTTACTGGCCCCTTACTTGGCTTACAGGTAATGGTGTAAAGGACCCAAATTCCCACCTTTCCAAGAGTTCTCTCAGAGATGCCACCTCTTCTTCTTTCTGCAGCCGAGCAGATTCTGATTCAGACAGCAGCTCTCTTGCTTCATCCAGCTTTCTAGACAAGCTTGTGTTTGTAGCCTAGTGAAATAAATGACTGTATTTCCTTACATAGAAAAACAACACTTTATCAAGTATAGGACAATTACCAAGACACCTAAACAATGCTTTAAAAGAATCTGTTAAAGCCAAACCACCAATTAAGATATTCTTCTATAAGCAGATGCTAATTAGTTGTGTACTACTGATTGATTACTCCTGTCACACTGAGTAAGGGATAGACTCTAAAGCGAGACAGTATTAAGTCTCTAATTCTTACTAGTCCGTATCAGTTGAGCTTTTGCCTCCTTATCAAGGAACATCTCTCAAAGATAATGGCAAAAGAATATGCCCTGCAAGGTTTTTCACCACCTGAAAGTTTCAAAAGAACAAAGAATGTATTTGGGAAATGTTTACTGCCCAAGGAAGTGGTAAATGCTCCAGCCCTGGCAGTGCTCAAGGCTAGGTTGGATGGGGCTTGGAGCAACCTGGCCTAGCAGAAGGTGTCCCTGCCCATGGCAGGGGGCTGGAACTGGATGAGCTTAGGGTCCTTTCCAACCCAAACCATTCTCTGCTTCTATGATTATTAAAGCTATATGACACATGAAGTATAATGGAAACAAAAACTTCTTTCACACCTAGCCTCTCCAGAGGAGTCTGGCAAACTTGGGAGTCCTCAGGGAACATACCTAGCTGCATCTAAAGGTGTACATATCTCTGCTAGAAGGCAGGGCCAGGTTCAATAACTGTCTTATTTCTGGGGTCCTTACACCCCTCCTAACGCAACTGTTTGATAAATGTATTGCAAAAATCATGTTTTCTTCCCAGCTGGATTATTTCTCAACCAGATTAATTCTCAGATTCAGTGTGCTTTGCAGCCTGCAAACAGTTGGATCCACACACACGGCTGTGTGCAGTGGGCAAGCAGGGCCTAAGACAGACACCTTTTAAACCTGCACCCCCATTTAGAAGTGTACACATAGCTAGGTTTTACTTAAACCCTAACTAGCTTTCACTGCAGGACAAATCCTAAGTGCTGTTTCAGTGGCTAACTTTCAGCTGCCAAGTATTTTGTCTGCAGCACTTGTATTCATTCAGGGACATTCCCAGCCTCATATCCAGTCACCAGAAATGCTGCTGCCTTCTCAGAGAGAACACTAATGCCTGCTGACACAAACACCTCTGCCTTTTAATCAGATCAAGCACCTACTTGTAACTCTGCAATCTCTTCCTCTGCAGCACGCTGTTGTCGCTTCTGCTCCTCTAGCTGCTCTCTTACTTTCCCACACTCTTCACTGACAGCCTAGCAGAGAGATGGAGCCAAGAGTTAGCATTCCTCTAGCAGCCACCCTTGCTCTCTCCCATTTGTCTGTTGTCTTTCGTGCAGCCCCATCTTTGCACCCCTGTAAAAAGCCCAGCTCTTTCTTCTTAGTAACTCTGAAGGCGCTGGGGGGCTGCTCTTTGGTCCCCATGAAGCTGTGTCTTCTCCAGGCTGAATAAGCCCCATTCCTCAGCCTTCCTGCACAGAGCAAGTGCTCCAGCACTGATCCTCCTGAGGGCTTTCTGGTGATCAAGCTGCAGGTTACTGATGGTTTTGAAGGGGCAAACAATATTTCAGATGTGGCCTTGTAAGTACTGAGTAAAGAGAGATAATCACTGCCCTCAGGCTCCTGGGAGTGCTCCTGTTAGTACAGCCCTAGATAAATTCCCTTTTGTATCTGCCACAGATGCCACAGAGCAGTTGTCTCCCTCTGACCAGTTTTCTCCAGGCAGCCGTCTCCTCCCTGGCCACCAGAGGTGTTTCAAAGGCCTATTTCATGTTCCTTCACTTTCCCCTTCACTTGTTGCTCTGTGGACACTGGCCTCCTGTTTAGATGTGCTCTCCTGAGATGGGATGTTCTCAGCTGAGGCGCTTATGCATGGGAACCTCTACAAGATTCCTAGCTGTAAATCAAGAGTGCTCCTACTGCCATGTATGGGATAAACACAGCACCACTGTCAGCCTTGTGAAAGGCAGCTAAGGAGAAACACAACTCCTGGATGCAAGGAAATTCCCCTCTGTTGTGGCAGACTAGCTGTGGTTTACTGTTCCCATTACAGCTCTCAACAAAAAGGCGGCCCAACTTTCAAAATGCTTTGGCTCAAAAGAGGGAGATAACCCAAATCATACAAAGGTTTATGAAGCCTTCATGGAAATGAAACAGAGGTGAATGGGTGCTGTTTTGTCAAACTTGTGGGATTTCTGGATACCACCAGCAGCATACGCCTCTGATCGACTGCCATTCTTAGCCATGATCTCAGCACGGCAGCACAAACACAATAAAACCTTCAGCCTTTAGGTGTGCTGTTTCACATACACAGGCCTGACTTATGTTTTCTGGAAGCAAAACTTTGATCTTCTCTGCTCCTGCTTTGAACAGCTGAACACAAAACTACATGAGGGAATTAACTGCAAAAGTATCTGGTCTCAGTCTAAGTTTGCTTTCGTCAGTATCAGTTTTAAGGAGAAGTAGCACTGTGGGTGTTGGGAACAGGTCTTGCAATGTTCCTACCAAAAGAGAAAGAAATCAAAGCTGTGACCAGAGGGAACAGCTCCAGAATACACTGCCTAAAGTGCCAACTCTCTCTCCATTACTGGTGGGCTTTTCTATATTACATGGCCTCTCCACTGTGCTCTGGTGGCCACACTACACATCTCCAAAATACTAGAAGAGTGCCAGGAGGATGGTGCCAGACTCTTTCAAGTGGTGCCCAGTGACAGGACGAAGAGCAATGGCCATAAACTAACACACAACAAGTCTCACCTCAGCATGAGGAAGAACTTCTTTACACTGAGGGTGTCAGAGCACTGAACAGGCTGCACAGGGGGGTTGTGGAGTCTCCCTTTCTGGAGACATTCAAACATGTTTGGGCACATTCCTGTGTGACCTGCTCTGGGTGTCCCTGCCTTGGCCCCACTCCACTTAGGTTGGACCAGATGATCTCCAGAGGTCACTTCAACCCTAATGATTCTGTGATTTTACCTCAAATAGTCCTAGGTAAGAAGTGTAGAGGCATTTTAAGACTCCTAGGTTAAGACTAGCTGTGTGCTAGTCTCAGAGCCTGACAATCACAAACCTCAGGGTTTCATGCAGTTATTGCTGCAGCAGATGGTAAAGCTGGGGAAATCCTGCACAGCTCCCTCAGCTGTAACCATCACATTCATTTACCTTGAATTTTGTCTGACAATTTAGAATCTCAGTGCTCATTTGAAATTTTATTGCAGACAGCTCTTCTTGGCTGGTCTCTTGGAAACTCTGTGCCCGTTTCGTTGCTGCCTCCAGCTGCAATTGCAGACTTGGGACAGCTGAGGCACATACTTGAGCCTCCTCTAATTTCTCTTGAAGGCTCTTGTTCTCCTGTCTGAGATTAGAGATATCAAGCTTCAGCTTCTCCTGTTGCTTGGCTGCCTGTTCTTCCAGTTCTTTGAAGCTTTTTGTAGCCTGGGCTAACTGCTCTTCTGCATCCACCTTTTCAGAGGTCAAGGCACAAATCTGAATACCAAGTTCAGCCATATCTGTGTTGGTCCTGTGGAGGAGATCTTTGTTTTCTTCATTTTCTATTCTAGCAACTTCCAGGCACTGCTTAACCTTGCATAGCTCTTCCTTCATGCTCAGCAAATCAATTTCTAGCTGAGCTTTTTGGTGGGCTGCTGTCTCATGCTCTTTTTTCAGCACTTCTTCTCTTTCTTTACATTGCACCAGTTCTTGCACATGGTTTCTGTTGAGTGACTCACTCCGCTCTTTAAGCTGCTGGACAAGCGCCTTCTGCTCTCCCAAGGAAGCCTCTGTGACTGCCAGCTCACCTCTCATCTGCTCTCTCTCATCAGCAGCCTGCTGAAGCTTGACTCGCAGGTCAAGGACCTCTGCTTGCAGTCTAGACACTTCACCACGGCTGACCTCCAGCTGCTCTTCACTCATGGCCAGTCTGGAGGTCAGCTCTTTTGCCTCCTTCTCCAGAGAAGCTGCCTGCTGTAGCTGATGTTCTTCCACGGATTCCTTTTCTGATGTGAGGGATTCTATAAGCTTTGTCTGATGAAGGCATGTCTTTTCAACACTGAGCTTTTCTACCTCAAGAGCCTCTGACTTCTTCCTATGTCTTTCAGCTTCTGCTCTTAGCTGCTCACACTGGCTCTCCATGTCTTGCAGTTTTAGTTCCTTCTCCGAGAGCTGTGTCTGGAGACACTCTTTGCTTTCTTCCAAAGTGCCTAAGCTTTTTTCCATTTGTAAACTGTGCTGTTTGGCACTCTTCAGCTGTCCTTCAAGTGAGGCGTAAAACTCCTTCATGGTCTCTTCTCTTTGCTTTAGTTCTTCATAGTCTGAGTGCAGAGCCTCTAATCTCTCCTCCAGGATTTGGCTTTGCCTCCTGGCATTCTGCAAGTCTTCATCCAGCTGTTTGTTCTCACTCCGGAGCCTCCTCTCTTTCTCATCAACTGACACCAGGGCATCATCTATCTCACTCTGAAGCTGTTTCTCAGAGGCTCTCAGCCTGGCTACCTCAGCTTCCAGGGAGGCTTTAGAAGCTTCCAGATTTTTCAGCTTCCCTTCCATCTTCTTCTTGGACTGCTGCAAATCCACATTCTCTGCTTTCAGCTTCCTGCCCTCCTCACCCATTTCACTCACTGCAGAGTTTTGCTGCTCCATCTGCTCCTCCAGCTCCTTGACTTTCTGGCCGAGATGCTCCTTCTCAGACAAGAGATTCCGGTTTTGCTCCTCAAGGCTATACACAGACTGACTCACCTTTGCTAAGCGACCCTCCTGCAGTTCAAGTTGCTCTGCTTGTGACTGGGCTTCCTGTTTCAGTGTTCCTTCCTTCCTACCATATTCCTCCTCAAGTTTCTCTTTTTCTTTCCTTGCTTCCTCAAGACTTTTTTCCAGTGACCCCACCTGAGCCAGCGACCCCATTACCTGGGTCTGGAGCTCAGACACTTCCTTTTCTTTCAGGGTTAGGGCCTTCTGAAGTGCTTCCATTTCCTTTGCCATGGATTCCAGCCTCCCAAGCAGCTTTTCATCCTCTTCTTTGGAGTCAGCAGTGAGGTGATTGTATCTAGATTCCAGCTCCTTCTGTGCCTCTTCTTTCAGCTGCAGCTCCTCCCTCATTGCTTTCAGCTGAGACGCTTGCTCATTATTGAGTCTTTGCATGCCTGCCTTTTCCTTTTCTGATTCCTGAAGCTTCTCTAACAGTGCATGTACCTGTAGGGCAGAATCACAGTGGGCTGTGGCTTGCTGTCCCCTTTCCTCCAAGGCAGCATCAACTTTTGCAAGGAGATTGATGTTCTTCTGTTCTGTGGAACTCAGCTTGGCTTTGAGCTCATCAATGCAATGATCCTTCATAGCAACCAAAGCCTTAGAGGCCTCCAGCTCCTGATTCAACACCTGCAGTTTTGAGGCATAGTCTTCCTTGCTGGCCATGAGCTGCTCGAGTTTTGTTGAATATTCCTTCTGCTGCTCCACTGCATTCAGCTCTAGTGACTGCAGGCACTTCTGCAGGTCATGAACAGTGCTCTGAGTGGAGTGTGAGACCTCACACTGTTTCTGTAACTCTGTGATCATCTTTGTCAGCCGGGAGTTCTCCTCATTGTAGTTATTGCTCTTCTCCTTTTCTACCTGTACTTGTTCCTTCTGAAGGCTGACAGCTGCCTGGAGCTCCTGATTTTCCATTTCTAGCTGGTGAATACGATCTTGAAGTTCCCTCTGCCTCAACTCAGCCTGGTCAAGTTCTACACGCATCTCTTCAAAGCCCTCAAGGTGTTCAACATTTAGTGAGTTATTTGCATCAGGGCTGGAGGGGAACTCCTGGGCCTAAAGGAACAGAAGGGGAAAAAGCAGAAAGTTTAAGAATGCATTTAAATGGTGTGCTCAGATGAGAGCAAATTCAGGTTTCTAATGCACAGTGATGTTGTATGTTGCACTCGCAGCGTTATAAGATATCAACTCCCAGGAAATAGGGTTTGTTTTCACAAAAGATAAACGAAAAAGCATGTAGATGAGGCCCTAAGGTTTAGTGGTGTTCTTGGCAGTCATGGGGTAATGGTTGGACTTGATCTTAAAGGTCTTTTCCGACCTAGATCATTCGATGATTCTATCTGCAGGCAGATACAAGGTCTGCGTGTTCAGTTGAATCAGCTACTGGACAATTCTCTTTACTTTTAACTAAGAACACTTTTTTGTAGTTTACCATTACATGAGTCATAATCACCATAAAGCTATCAAGCGCTCTGGAATGATGCCATTAATTAAGGATCTAATATGTCACATAAACATTTCTTTGTAATATGCTTACCTGCAAATAACTGCTCACTAAACTGCTCATGCTGGAACTGCGACTTGGGGGCTTCCATAAATATGCAGAAGATCCAAGTGAGGACAGTGTCCTCCTGTTGATCACACAGAGAAACATGCTATAAGAGAAGTCTAAGCACATACATGCATGTCTTCCTACTCTCACATGTAACATTTGTGGAGTTGGAACTACTATATACCAAAAGACATCACAGCACCTGCAGTTATGGGGCAAACAACCACTGAAGTGGATGGAAAACAAACTAAGGATGTCAAGAAAGCTTATGGGATTGGCAGCCATGACTTCCCACATCCACGAGAACCACGATGCAGCTCTGCTCTAAGCAATTGCTTGGTGGCGGCTCAGCCAGGTGGTGGCAGCATGCAGCCCTCGAAAACACCCACTGGAAAATGGATCTGGATCAGGCCTAAAGTTCTCCCCGTCTTTGAAGTAGGATCAGGCTGTGAGTGACCACATACTGTCATCTCTACCATCGCTACAAGTGAAGCACACTGCTTGGCTTTTCAGTCACCGCATGTCTCAGCTCTTAAAACAGAAGGAGCTAAGAATATTTGTTCTTGTTCCTCTGAAGGTGAGAATAGCTTGGGAGGTGGCCTAAACTGCTCTTATTGGAAGTACTCCATTACAGAGCACCAACTCTGATCTCTGGTACACAGGATACTGAAAGAAATAAAGGCCAATTTGATCATAGACTAATTACATAGAGAAAGCGTATACTGCTCTAACACAAATATTCCTACCTTCAAAAGCAGAAGCTTTAACAGACTCTGAAGAATTTTATGCTACATTTTATGGCCCTGTTAATACTAAATGACAAAGTAGTTCTATCATACCTGGCAAATGCTGGCCAGGCAGCATCTAAATCATAGCCTCTTGATGCCAAGTCAAACTGAACATCAGTCAGCTCATAGAGATGACCCACAATGTCAGAACTCATCCTGGAATTGAGAAATGGACTTCTTGCGTAGTACCAGTCACTTGAAAACAAACAGACACAAAAATAAAGTAAGCAATAGTCACAAAACTCATTCATAAGTACAAAAGAAGCAGCAGCTTCACTTGCAAAAAGCCCCACAGCATCATTTTCACTCCATCCCAGAAAAATTATGATACACTGTACTAACACAAACTGAAACAACCCATCCCTTTGATATGAATGAAATTCAACAGTTTTAATGAAGTCCACAGAAATATCTTTAGAGGAGCCCCGGCACAAGGTATTTTTTGTTCTAGTGCTTGGCCAAAACACCAGCAAGACAAAATATTTGCTATACACTGGGTAATCACACAGTAGATACCTAAAGCACACACTTGAAACATCACAAATGAGGCAAAGAATGCAGCAATCAGAGTTAAATACACTGCGTAAATAGATGGCTTTTTCTAACAGCCACAGCAATGCCCCCCCCAACCAACTACAAACTATCTTTGGTGTTCCTTGGCCAGGAGCAAGCTGTTCTTCTATGTGACAACCCAGAGATACACTTAAATGCTTTCTCGGGCTTTGAGCAACACATCCAAATTAATCCTCCTTTATGATGCCCAGCACAGAAGATCAAGCCCAGGATCTTCAATGCTTCTAAAAATGTCACCTTTGAAACAAACAGACAGAAGCATCAGGACAGATATTTAGCTGTAACAACTTTCAATCTTTACCAGCCTAAAATAGGTATGAACCAGTGACCCAGGCCAAAAGGTCTGTTATCCTTCCTATCCTATTACCAGCTCTCTAAGCCAACCATTTGGAAGCGTTTCAATTCCTTTCAATAGCTACTTTATGATGCTGCCTGATCACACTGAGCAAACACCCATTAGTGAACAAGGTACTTCGCTATTCACCTGGTCACCTTGGTGTTCATAAAACACTGCTGCAAGGTGTCTGCTAGCCTCTGGTGCACCAGGGAGTAACGAAGAAATGCTCTTCCTTTTCCAAGAGATGTTCGTAGCTGAAAGGGAGAAACCACAAGAAAAGAAAATCCTAAGTATCATCTGTGATGTAGAGACGTGGCCAGAACAGCCTACGTATCAACTCAAAACCACTCACAATAAGCCACTAGTTGTAAAGGAAGCAGTAAGAACTGAGAGACGCCTTCTCCCAATACTGTCACTGGGTGGAACCCTTTTTGAATGATGAATGTGCACCTACAGCTGGCTGATGTCCACTTTTTAACAGTGTAAAAGACATCACAGGACCAATGATTCATTTCATATACTGAGTACATGAGTACAGACTACGCTAAGGACGATTCCCAACACAAGGCAAAATCCCAATGTGCCCAGCAAAGCCAGAAGTGTCTGCTTAGGTTACTTGGGATGTGTCTGGCCACAGCTGGAAGAGCTTTAGAGCAGCTCTAGTCATAGAACAAAGATGTACACATACACAAATACACACCCCCACAGACCCATTCACCCTTTCTTAATACTTAAGCCATTAAGTTAATAAAAACCTAATTCTTACTTCAGACCAAGAGCAGCTGCATGACCAAAATTAATGGCTCTTTCCATGAAGACAGCTGTTATATCAACATAAAGGGCATCACAAAACTCAGTATTTAACTTTGTTACAGCTCTTGACTTGGGGAATTGAGACGTTGGTTTGTTTTTTACATCTGAGCTATTTGCTGTCCTGCAAAACAGTGAAACACTAAACAGCAGTGTTTTATTTCTTCTAGCCATCAAAGTCACTGATCAATTTAGGAATGGAAACTGATAGTGATGAAAGAATCTCTCACCAGGCAGCAATGCTCCCGACTAAACCATTCATCCAACTAACAAACCAAACGTACTCAAGACTCAAGAAATGGAATCCAACATGAGAGGGGCTGAGGCACAAGTTAGTAGGTTACTGTGAATATTGACTGAACAGTTAGTGTGAAAGAAGGCTCAAAGGCCACACTTTCCTTCCTTCTTCATCAGTATTCCATGCTGCTACTGGGCTTCTGTGCTCAACTCAGACTCAGGTTCCTCATTTAACTCACTGATACACTATATACAAAAATGTTCTTTATAAATGGAATAAGGAAATAAATGTGGAGCAGAGGCAGCAACACCTTTTTGGTTTGAGTTCTAAAGGAATCAGCCAGTCATCCTCAACTCTACTGACTAGCTGAAAAAGTCTTTAAAAATGTGAAATATGGTGAATCTTTCCTCTTACTTAGTGCCAAGTCCTGCTGTAAGCTATGCTAAGAATGGCAGGCTCTACCCTTGACTTCATTCTTTTAAAGAGAAAATGGCACTAAGTTTATGAAAAGGCAAGGCAGAAGCAGAGACAAACAAGGACAATCACTTGCATAAGTGGTCTTAAAAATAAAGTAAGAATTGGATTACTTGATCCTATATAATTTAGTGCCTTAGTAAAAACAGTAACTAGGTATTTTGATAGAATCATAGAAAGGGTTGGAAAGGACCTTAAGATGATCCAGTTCCAACTCCCTGCCATGGGCAGGGACACCTCACACCAGACCAGGTTGCTCCAAGGCTCTGTCCAACCTGGCCTGGAACACTGCCAGGGATGGGGCAGCCACAGCTTCTCTGGGCACCCTGTGCCAGCACCTCAGCACCCTCACAGGGAAGAACTTCTGCCTTAGATCTAACCTGAACTTCCCCTGTTTCAGTTTGAACCCATCACCCCTTGTCCTATCGCTACAGTCCCTGATGTACACTGGACAGACACTGGAAGTCCCCCTTCAGACACTGGAAGCTGCTCTGAGGTCTCCATGCAGCTTCTCTTCTCCAGGCTGAACAGCCCCAATGTTCTCAGCCTATCTTTGTATGGGAGGTGCTCCAGCCCCTGAGCATCCTTGTGGCCTCCTCTGGACTTGCTCCAACAGCTCCATGTCCTTCTTATGCTGGGGACACCAGAGCTGCACACAGTGCTGCAGGTGGGGTCTCAGGAGAGCAGAGCAGAGGGGCAGGATCACCTCCCTTGACCTGCTGCTCACGCTGCTTTACATGAGAATTAAAAATACAAATTCCCAACTTTTTTTGTTGTATGTTAAAAGCAGTGCATTTTCTTCTGGTTTCTACTGCTCTCAAAGACACAGCAGAATGTAAAGCCATATATTATGATGATGAACTGATATACTCACTTCTGTAATAGACTTGACAAAGCGGATTCCATCATTAGCTCCCTTGACTTTTGCTAGACAGTCACAGAAATAATCCCAGTAGTCTTTTCTGTTCCCCAGCAACGAGTTCTTTTCTTTCTGGTCAAACTTAAGCAAGAGAAAATGCAATAAGCAAAACTTAAATACAAATATAGTTATATTTAGCTACTTGGAATTCTCTTCCTCTCCCAGCAACAAGCTTTCGTGTCTCCTCTTTGTTTTAGCCAATGTATGCACAAAGGAAAGAGACACTGATGGAATCCAGGAGATCCATAAGCTACTTTACAGACACTAACAGATAATAATGTTCTGGGTGTAGTTAAAATACAGACATTCATTCAAAACTGCTGAAACAAAGATTTGCAGCAGATTCAGCAGCTGTCTAAGAGTGACAATCAGTTGCTGAGAGACCTGGAATCAGGTGTGGCAACAGCACACGTGTATGTATCAGAAAAACCTGGTCTATCTAAATCACCTTCAGAGCAGCAATGCAGTGAGGGCATGGACTGTAGCTTGGACCATCCAAATCCCAAAGGAAAGCTGAAGAGCTTCTGCTGAAGCCTCTGCAACCCAATTAAAACTCCCTTTGCCTAGATTAGCATGTCTTTGTCGCAATCAGTGACATGGACGCACTATGTGTGGACACGAACATATGCAAACTGGATTTCAGTTTGCCTAGCAGTGTCCTCTTTTTACTTAAATCCTGAGGATGGACAAAGAGCAGCATGCCAAATGAATAATCAGCCTTTTGTATTAAGCCTTCCATACAATTAAAATGAATCTCCAAAGTGAGTTGCTACAAATTCTGTCAGTTACTCACAGCACTATATTTGCACTGTGAACACCTCACTAGTATTTATTTTGTGTTAAAATGTTGTCAAGATCTCATTACCATTGTTTTTTTCCAGGATAATTTACCAGGAGATATCTTTAAACTCAAGCTTAAATCTTTCAGATCAATTAAAAAATGCCTTGCATTCCTCAGTCAAACTGCCAGCACTGCCTTTTGATCACATTTATTTACTGTCACTTGAAGTATGTACAATGAGTAGCACATACTTCAGTTCTTACTGAAAAGAGGGAGACTCAAACGGATATTTATGATTATTTGAGTTGAATCCCACATACTGAAGTGGCAAGAAGAGAAAGCAAGGCCTAACTTTGACAGTGGATTATGAATGACAAGCATCACTTTTTACCTGTAGAAGGTACTCGAGCTTGTAGGAGAATTTTTGCAAGTTGACACTGTCATCTGTGATTGGTTCCCCTCCTTCTTTAAATTCTTTGCTTAATTCAGTCACAGCATCTTGAAAACAAGACACCAAAACGGTTAACTACTGCAATAGATATATAGCACTGAATCCATAAACGACTAAATGAATGGCTTTTCTGCATAGACATTACATGTGTATGCAATTTCTTTCAGTCAAAGTGTCTTAAGGACAGTGCAAAAAGCTTCCTGATTATGTGTGCAATTTAAGATGACCTATAAAAAACTTACAGCTCAAGTTACAGCAATCTGTGGCACGGGCTAATTCTTCTTGAAAAGAGCAAAACCTCCTTCTGACACGAGTAACAGACAGTTGCTAACTGGTTCTTCAACAGAGGAAAGAGAAATAACTTTTTGCTGCCTCATGTGCACATTAAGGTAGTGCCACAGGACAAAGAGGATTCTGATTAGAAAGGACAAAGCATGTCATCTGCTAGAGGGGATCAGTAACATGAGAACAGTCAGCACATTTATCTTCTCCATGCTTTATTCAGGAAGGTTCAGCTTGTGCTGGTTACAAACACAAATGGGGAAAATAATTTACATTAAAATAAGCAGACAGCAACTGCTCTTCCCTAAAACCTACACCCTTAGTGGGTAAGGAAACCCCAAGTCAAAGCAAACTCTGTAATCTTCCTGGACACTCTGGCCCCCAAAGGGTGCACTTCTCAGCATCAGAAATTGCTGGTTTTGAGCTTGCTTTCCACTTGATTTTTTAATTCTTCCAGGTGCCTGAGTGAGCCTTAGCTCACAGTCCCACTTGATCCCCTTTGTGAAGTAAAGTCTCTTCCTGTTAGCAGGCACATATCTCTTTTAGTATGTTAAAGGAAGATCTAGATTCCCAGCTTTGGCGCATATCACACTTTACATTTAACCAAAATTAAAAGGAGAAATATCTGGATCTTGGTATAGACAGCTGGTTAGGACAGAGACAGAGCAAGCAAAACAGTTACGAATCTCTGCCTGCCTGCAACAAGAGCTGTGGAAAATTAAGTTGGCTACTGGTAGCGGAGGACAAATCAGGTGCACAGAAAGCACTTTCCAAGAACAGCAGATCCAGTACTCAGCACTCTTCCTCTGTGTCTCTATTCCAAGATTGGTTTGGCCTCTTGTTTTTTATCCTTCCCACATTAGCAACAGCTCCTCACCAGCTTCCCACCAAGGGAGGGTGTAAAAACCAGGCCTCCTCCTTTATGTCACATTAAGTCTTGTAACAGCATAGCCAACAAAGTCCTAGCTCACACAACACACCCCAAAGACACTTCTTTTTTTTAATTGTAAAACTTACTTCTCATCTTGCAAGGTTAAATTTGCAGGATTTAAGAATGTAAGGAGCTGCAGAAGGTATAGCACATCTCTCACAAGAAACATCAGCCACATCTCTACTGAGCACATCACACACCTTGAACGATGTTGGTACAACTGCCGCACAACAGTTACACAAGTGAAAACACAACTCCTTCTGTTTCCAAACACAGAGGTGCATTCCAGCCTACAGAATGAAGCTGCCAGCATGGCACCGTACCTTGCAAGTCCCTGATAATCCGCTGCAACTGGCTTTCACCACCACTTGCTGCCATGCTGAACACCAAAGGAGCTCCCCTTATGGGCTGTTGACCTTCTCATCCATTTAAGTTAAAACAGCAAAGTTCATGTCCTTGATGATCATTGGGCTAATGAAGATGATTCTTCTCTGTGATACCTGCAATTCTGTAAAAGTCAAAATGAAAACAAAAGACTTTATAGTGTCAAAGAAGCAGAAGAGAGGTGCTTTGGCATTTTAGATCCTGGTTAGTAATGAATTCCCACAAGGCCAAGCCTTTTCCAGGAACCTCTTTCCTATTTCCGTCTAGATTTGAGTTTCCATTTCAGTTATTTCTTCAGTTAGATCCTTCAAAACTCCTGAGCAAACCTCAGAGAGCAATTTTCCCTTGCTGGAGTTACAACACAGTCGGTCTGACAGCCCAACACAGGCTGGCATTTCATGCCATTCACCTTGTGACCCTGATGTCGGTTCTGATGACAAGGGACTTTCCTCTCACAAACCCTCTGCCAGATCTTCCCCACAGGCTGCAGAGTAAAACGGTACAACAACTTTTCCATTGCAGAGAGGTTATTTCAAGACACAGACTAGGCAGAGACCAAGGAGTCAAAAAAATGATGTATGTTTGATTCTCTGGCATTGATGCATATTTTTAACTCATCAGAGCTACTTAAAACAGTTAGCACTGGTTTTAGCACGAGAAACATCCCCTCCTCAGAACCCGCTGTTCCAAACACATGTAAGAGGATACCACTCTATTTTAAGCTCTGTAGCAGCACCCCTGGTTAGATAAATATACCTTGCACCACTTCCCTTGCTTAGAACAATGACAAGCAAGTTACACCATTGCAAGGGGGTTGGAACTGGATGATCTTAAGGTCCTTTCCAACTCAAACCATTCTGTGTTTCTATTCTATACCTAGTACTCGTAGAAAACCTCTCCTTCGTTAAATTTAATGAACTAAGATGAATCTAAAGCCTCAAACACTTTGCTAAAACAACCACGTCTGGCGACCCAAACTTTCAAATACGAGCCTAGGAACATTTGTTCTCAAAACCAGGCATTCTGCCTGCAATGGTACAGCCAAATTTGCAAACAAAGTACTGAATTTTCAGAAAACGTGCTGTTATACTTCTGTGCTTTTGCTATCATTCAAGCTCAACAATAGTGAAATTAAGCTGTAATGAAAATCTTACAAACTTCTGAAGTACACACGTAATTAGGTCAAATTATTACATCTTACTCCTTTCTTTCACTCCCCTAACTACATTGGCGCGGCTGAAGCAGGTGTTTGAATGAATAAAACGCAAATCCTTCTGCCCTATGTATCGAGGTATTGTTTGGAAATTATCCTGGTGTAAGCCTGTATTCTTTTCCATTTGAAACAAAGCAAACCTTAACAAAGCCATAGAGATAGAAACATGGGAAGTATAAAGAAAAGGCTGTAATTAATCTTACTAGTGTGATGCTTCTCTCAATACCTGTGTTTTGTTACCTGCTAGTTTCTATTTCCATATTTTGATGGCAGTTGTTACAACACAAGTGTCTCATGGCCCATGTGGTGTCTGAGGAAGGGCCTTGGCCTGCAAAATCCCCACCCCAACTGGGTTGTTTCAGGAAGAGGAGGCCAGCACAGCACAACCCTTTGCCGTGCCAAACATAGACTTTTACCCTAAAGCAACAATATTACTTACCCAGGATTCCTATCTTGATTCTACTGAGTGATCATATAAAGCACCACACTTCCTTGCTGAGTTTGGGTGCCAGGGAAAAAAAGCAAGAAGGGAACCCAGCAAGTCAATGTTTCCATGTCTAAACATGTGCATTAACATCAGCTGTATCTGTTCACTTCAGCAACTGTTACAGAAAGGAGCTTAAGTGAGAAGACTGAAATATGGGCAATGGAAAACCAAAGCACGTGGCCAAACAAAATGCTCTTCCACACACAACGGGAGAAAAGAGCAAGGACAAACCAGGGGATCCTGCCTGTCCTTCTCAATGGCTGGAACAAGCCCCAGTGCAAGGTCCCAGAGGCACAAAGACTATGCAAGAGGCATGCCAGGAAAAGTGAACAGGCCAACTGCAGGCATGAACAGAGATCCCGGAAAAGAAGGCAGTTGACAGCTGAGCTCCTGTCTGCTCCCAGTCACCCCCTTCCTCAGTACAGGAAGCAGGATCTCACAGCTTCCCCCTCCCTTGCATCAGCTCCCACCCATGAAACTTTTAGTTCCTCCCTCCTCTTCCTGGAGGTAAAAGGGATCTTTAGACCTGGGCAAATGCACATGGAGAATCAGGGAATCACAGGGTGCTTTGAGTTGGAAAGAACCTTAAAGATCATCTAGTTCCAACCCCCTGCCATGGGCAGGGACACCTTAATGTGCTGGAATGTTTTCTACCTGCCTTGTCTGCAATATGGGAAGAAAGGTACTTATCCTCTCCATGGTCCTTCCAGATGTGGTCCTTGGAAGCACAGTCCATCTCATGGAAAGGTTCAGAGCTCTCACTTCCTATGGCAAAGAAAGCTGACAACGGGCCTTAACTGGTTTCCTGAGGTTTCAAAACAGGAAGAGCTTCTGTAACACCTGATCTAGTCCTTCCTGACCACGGAACACTTTGCCCAGGATTCTTTAGAGCACAATCCTGTTCCTCCCCAGCATTTCCTATCCTATTATGTAGGCCTATAAATATTTGCTAGGTGAAAACAGCACCATCCATGTGTCAGGCACGAGTGGCCAGCTGTGGGTCAAAAGCTTTTTAGATGATGCATCGCTCCCTCTTATGCAATAGCATTTGACTAAGGGGGAGGGCATTAACTGGCATAAAACTGCAGAGCTGCAATGACATCAGTGCAGTTACACGAAGGACCTGGCACCCAGAGGGCAGAGAAACAAGACAGGGCATGTCACCAGTCCCTCCTTGCATTCTTGGGCCATGCCTGCTGGTGTCTGAAGGTGGCTGCTCCCTTCCCTGCTGGCATAAGTACTGGTGTGGGGGTGTCAATCTTCTTTACAGAGCAGGATATCCTGGAGATTTAAGAAGCAGATAGGAAACAGCCCACTTACAGGAAAAGACTGACCTGAAGGGGAGTGAGACACATCCAAAACAAGAAGCAAAATGACTGTAATTAAACTGGTTAGTGGAGCAGTGGCAATGACCCACTTTTAATCTGATTTCATAACATTTCTCTTTGTGTTTCTGTAGGCATATTTGCATCTCCAGCAGCTACATTCTGCTTAATTCATTGGTTAATTCTGGCCAACCTTGACAAGGTAGAGGTGTTCAAAATACTACACTCCTCCATGTGCAATCCCAACGGGAAGCTGGAGGAAGTCCATCAGCAGAGCTCCTCTTCATTGATAAAAAGGCTGCAGCGAGACCTGTGTCACAGCCTGGTATCAGAGAATACACCCACCATCCAAGTCATTTGCAGTGCATACTAAGGGCAGAGCTCACATTTCAGACGTGGTATAGCTCAGTTCAAAATCAAATAATAAGGGATGATCAGGAGCTGGAGCACTTCTCATACTAAGACAGCTGAGAACATTGGGGCTGTTCAGCCTGGAGAAGAGAAGCTGCGTGGAGACCTCAGAGCAGCTTCCAGTGTCTGAAGGGGGCTACAAGGATGCTGGAGAGGGACTCTTCATCAGGGACTGTAGAGATAGGACAAGGGGTGATGGGTTCAAACTGGCAGTGTTCAAGGCCAGGCTGGACGGGGCTTAGATCAACCTGGTCTAGCAGAAGGTGTCCCTGCCCGTGGCAGGGGGTTGGAACTGGATGATCTTAAGGTTCTTTCCAACCCAAACCATTCTGTGATTCTATGATTCAAATCATATCTGCAAGGCAAATTCATTGGAAACCAAGGCCACAACTGTCTACTGCTTACAAAAATACTTTACATTGACGTAACTACTCTGGTCTAGCCACTCAAAACAAGGACAACTCACCACTTGGCACCCACTACTATCACCAGACCTTTATTTGGTGCCTGCAATTCCATACCTGTTCTAACACTCTGAAACAAAACAGAAAAGTGAGGGTAACCAGCCAAATCCTACATCCATGAGTCCCAACAATTGTAACTGTGTTATTCTCTTGGGTAATGTGGATCTTGATTTGTCCCATAAAAGCAGATACTGCAAGGCACACTTCTGGAAAGCGTGTGGACAAAACCAACCTACTCGGTCATACAATGCTAAAAGAAACATTGACAAAGAACACTGAATGCAAACCTCACAGCAAAGATGAAGTGGGAGCTGGGGAAAAAGAGCTACCTCTACCTCACAGGACTGTACCACCACTGGTTCAGTTAAATTATTTCATTCCAGTAACTATGTGGGGAAAAGCACTTTGTTGTTGCAGGAAATATCAGAGCACCAGTGGAATTTACTACAGCTGTGGAGTTAGTTTTCCTCCTTTTGCACCACAAAGCTGCACATCCATAAAGCTAAAGAACTGTTTGCTAGAAATAAGGCTCTGAGGTGAACTCCAAAAAAGACAGCACGACTCTTCTGTCAGGCACACACACATCCTTCTCCTGAGCAACCCAACCCTTTGTGCTCAACACTGCATATAAAGATATGGGACTGATAAAAACACACACTGGCCTACGTGAAATAGGAGCATTAAAAAACAAAAGGCAGGCACAGCCTGAATGTCAACCAAGGTTTCCATTCCAAGAAGTGAAATTTTCTTGCTGAGTTAACCTTCCCCCTTCATTTTCTACACCAACAAACCTTCACATTTCAATAACAAAACTAATGTTTTGGAGGAATATTTTTTCTTTCTTTTAGCACTTCAAATCTAAGACCATGCTGCAAACCTATGCTGGATTTCCACACACTCACAGATACAAACCTTGTTTTGAAGTGTTCAGGCATATAAACCTAGACTCATAGAATTCCAGACTGGTTCAGGTTGGAAAGGACCTTAAAGCTCATCCAGTTCCAATCCCCTGTCACGGGCAGGGACACCCCACACCGGACCAGCTTGCTCCAAGTCCCTGTGTCCAACCTGGCCTTGAACACTGCCAGGGATGGGGCAGCCACAGCTTCTCTGGGCACCCTGTGCCAGCGCCTCAGAACCCTCACAGGGAAGAACTTCTGCTTTAGATCTAATCTAACATTCGGTACTAACACATATCCTGCAGAAAATATGCATCCAGAAAAAGAAATTCACAGAGTATAGCTCAGCAAAACCGAGCAACCAGACAAAGTGCACAAAGCCAATCACATATTTTGCAGATGCCTAGCAGAAAAAGTAGCATGCTTATAGTCAGGGGGTCCCTACAATAAAGACCTTTTGTAGGGAGGCCCTTGTGCTTTAGCCATAATTGCATCTAACAGCATAAGAATACAAGCTAATGACATAGACAAAATCCTGCTTTAACCCCTGACAGGAGAGACTGACACAAAAGAACTGGAAAAGTTTTGTATAATCTTTGTGCAAACTTCTCTATTCTATGGACACCTGGCCTGCATTCC